TCAATGACCTCTACCTACCTGAAAGAAATTAAGGACAAGACAAAAGCCAATGATTTTTCAGGAAAACAGCCCACTATCAGCTAAAGCTAACTTTTAAGTTCAAGAGGCTATTTTCTCTTCTTTCTTTTTATTTTTAGTTTTGGGTTGTTTTGTTTCTGAGACAGTATTGATATGTAGCCCAGTTTGGCCTCAAATTGATAATCCTCCTACTTTGGCCTCCTCAATCCTGGGATTATAGGCAATTGCTGCCATAAATCACTACAGTTATTTAGTAGGGATTCGCTCTTTCCATCCCCCTCTCTCAGTAGGCAAAGAATTTGGTTAGATAGAATACTGATTATGACAAGTTTTTATTTGTCTTAAATTAATTTTTCACTTGGAAAAATATTGCCTTTCAAAACTTTTCCTTTACACTGTTTTAATTTTAATCTTTCTAAATGAGTAGATCTGACAAATTATTTTCGTGTTAAACCAAATGCCTCCATGTTCAACCTTCAACTCAAATGAAGTAAATTTAATGTAAACTTTCCAAATTGTTCAAGCTCCTCATTAACCCTCTCTAAAAACAAACCATCTGAATAACACACCATACATAAATGTGTGCTCCCCTCTACCTTTTTTTTTTAAAGGAAATACTGAGAAAGCCCTATCACCGTGGTAATGCCAAGAAACAATGAGGCATGGTGCTAAATGAGGACTTGTCTGTATCTACCACATGTGTGTTATCACCAAATACTAAGCTTCCTAGCAAGTTGCTGGAATAGACATAATCAACCATTGTGTGGAAGACAAACTTCCCCTTAGAGAAAAGAATTGAGGACAACTGTGTTTGCTATTGCCACTTCAGGGCCAACCCATGAAACACAATTAGAAAATGGTAAAAGTAGAACAGAATACAGACTTTTGTTTTGTTAATTAATTAAAACAGTAGCCAGGCATTGTTGGCTCACACTTGTAATACTAGTTACTCAGGAGGCTAAGATCTGAGGCTGAGATCTCAAGATCAAAGTTCAAAGCCATCCCAGTCAGAAAAGTCCTCAAAACTCTTATCTCAAATTAACCAGAAAAAAGCTAGAAGAGAAGGTGTGGCCTAAATGGTATAGCCCAGCCTTGAGTGAAAACACAAGCCCTAGAGTTCTGTACAGTACCAACAACCACCACAAAACCTGGTTGAAAGTAAGGCTCAAACAGCACAGTGCCTGCCCAGCAAGAGCAAAGCTCTGAGTTCAAACTCTAGTACTCTCTAAATAAATAAATAAAACTTAATTAAGGTAAAATTTACACATAGTAAAGTTCATCCACTTTCAGCCTATAATTGTAGGGTTTTTTTTTTTTTTAGTAATGTTACCAACTTTTACAGTGACCACACAGAGTTGTTTTAGAATATTTCTATTACCTTAATAAGATTTCTTTGTGTTCATTTATAATTTTGCTATGTTTACCTCCAAGTTGGAGTGATTTTTTTTAACATAGTTTCTCTTTGTTGTTGTTGTTGGTGGTGGTGGTGGTCATGGGGCTTGAACTCTGGGCCCAGGCGCTGTCCCTCAGCTCTTCAGCGCAAGGCTAGTGCTCTACTACTTTAGCTACAGTGCTACTTACAAAGTGATTTTTTTTCTTAATTGAGAAAGACGCTACAACATCAGAATTTATTTTATTTTTTCGTGGGGCTTGAACCCTGGGCCTAGGCACTGTCTCTGAACTTTTCAACTCAAGACTAGTGCTCTACCACTTGAGCCACAGCACCACTTCCAGTTTTGGCGGTTATTTTGGAAATAAGAATCTCATGATGCTCAGGCTGGCTTTGAACCATGATCCTCAGATCTCAGCCACCTGAATAGCTAGGATTATAGGTGTGAGCCATCAGCACACAGACACATCAGAATTTTTAATGGAGCCCAAGGACTCTAGTTATGTTCTTTGAGTTACAATGACTGTGGCCTTCAGATTTAATTATCTCCCAGTTACAGATTACAATGACAAGAAATTTTGATAAAAGAATTCTGTAGCAAACTCTGTCAACTGAGAAAGGATCTCCTTCCTCAAAATCAAAAATCAAAAAACCACTGGGTGCAAATGGTTCATGCCTGTAATTCCAGCTACTTAAGAGGCTGAGCTCTGAGGATCGTGGTTCAAAGCCAGCCTGGGCAAGAAAGTCCATGAGACTCTTATCTCCAATTAACTATCAGAAAACCAGAAGTGGAGCTGTAGCTCAAAGTGGTAGAGTTGCTAGCCTTGAGCAAAAAATCTTATGAGAGTGCCCAGGCCCTGAGTTCAAGGCCCACAACCAACCGGAAAAAAGAAAAAATCAAAAGACCAAAAAACTAACTTTCAAGAAAACAGGTAAACTCCCAAGCATTCCTATAAAATTCAAATATTATTATTACCTTTTTGCTTGTGAGATGTAATGGATTTTTCCAGTTCCTTAAATAAGTTATATTTCTATGGAGTTAAAAGACAAAAATGTCTTCTAAAACATCAAAAAAAAACCCTTTGATAGGTATATTATTCTAATATATTTTGGGTACAGTAAATATATCAAATTTTCATGTTTGGAGGTTGACAAAATAACCACTAACCACTTCTTTCCTTCCTCCATAATCTACATATTTTAAGAAAACTTGTTTCAGGTTTATCTTGCTTACATTTTTTGATTTCCAGGTATCCTCCCTTCAGCAAGGAACATTCTGGTTTCCCAGAAATCTCCTAAATATTTCACAAGGCACCCTTTTACATTTGAAAGAGAAAACTGTTTTGTCGAATGATGATGAGAAATTCCAAAAAGACTCTAACCCAGACAGGATTCTAAATTTGGGGAAATCTATGGCACTCAGTCAACTCAGTTGCTCACCAAGATTCCTCAAGAGTTATTTTATACCACTTGCAGGAAATTGATATTTGCTGTGGGTTAAAAAAAAATTCCTTACATCAATAACAACAAGTATTAGTTTTGTGTCTTAACTGTGTTGAGATTTTCTAGAACATAGGGTTCAACTTACCCCTATGGGTAATTGAAGGTAGGACTGTGGAGAAAATAAGTATCTTGCAGAAATAAGTATATTTTGCCAGTAGCTTTAATATATTCTCAAAGCAAGTGGGAACTTTTGAACTGCTCATATAAGGAAAAATATGTGGATTTTTGAAAAGCTATTCTGAAAGTTGTTAATCTCGTTTTAAAAGCAATTGAGGTAGGGTTTGTTGGGGCAAGGAGGCCGAAATGGTGTTCGATGACTTGCTTAAATGCTCTCTCTTTTTTTGTGGGTCATGGGGCTTGAACTCTGGGCCTGGGTACTGTCCCTGCGCTCTTCAGCTCAAGGCTAGATAGCGCTCTACCACCTGAGCTACAGTGCCACTTCTGGTTTTCTAGTGGTTTATTGGAGATAGTCTCACGGAATTTCCTGCACAGCCTGGCTTTAAACCGCGATCCTCAGATCTCAGCTTCCTGAGTCGCTAGGATTACAGGCGTGAGCCACCAGCACCTGGCTAATCTTGGGAATCTTAAATAAGAATTTTGCACACATTTTTTTTTTTTTTTTGGAACAAATAACGATGGAAACATTTCAACAAAATCTGGTGATGGAAGGGCCTGGGCAGGATGCGGCCTTGTCTGATGGAAATTGCTGTGTGCCAAAGTAAAAAGCCAATGCATTTTAGAAAGGCAAGTCTGTGAAAACTCTCCCGACCCCACCCCTCTGGCGTTTAGTGATTCAAACAAAATCTCGGCTTTGTGTTTTAAGTAGCACGGAACGTGGCAAAAACTTTAATTTTAAAAAGTTTTCCTCTTTCCAAACGGTCGGTCGGTCAGATTTCCCAATGGCATTGTGTATTCACTACTGATTTCCTGCCCAAAGGAAACGAGAGGAAGGAAGGAGGGAAGGAAGGAAGGAAGGAAGGAGAAAGAAGAAAGGAAGAAAGAAAAAAAGGAAGGAAAGAGACTTCCAAGAAAGAAAGAAAGGAAGGAAGGAAGGAAGGAAGGAAGGAAGGGAAGGAAAGGAAGGCAGCACACACGCCCCTGAATTCTGAAACGTGGAAACTTGCTTTGTCTTTTCCAAAGAAAACTTTTCTCTCGGAGTCTCCCCGAGCAGGGCGCGCGCACTCGGGTGAGCGGTGAACTCGGGAGGGGACCCCGGCCCTCCCCGCCGGCCCCTCCAGCCCCGGCAGGTACAGTGGAGAAGCCGAGACGCCGGCCCGGGACACCGTGGAGTCCCCGCGCCGGGGACCGGCCGGCCCCGCCCCGGGACTGCCCAGCCTGGAGCCAGGTAGCGGCTCCTGGGGCTTTCCGCCTGCCCGCGAACGTCCTGGGAGCGCCGGCGCCCCGTGCGCCCCCCGGGGGCGGTGCAGAGTTCTCCAACCCCACCGGTGCCCCGATGCAAAAAATAAAACGAGAAGCGGGGTCGGGGGGGACCTGCATCCCCGGCTGCGGGCAGCCCCGGCCCTGCCCTCCCCTCCCAGCCTACCCCCAACGGCTGCTGCCAGGCCTCCCCCACCCCCACTCCACAAACCCTCCCAGAAGTTGGACGACCGCAAAGGAAACCGGAAAAAAAAGGAAAAAAAAAGTCCCCGGCCCACTCCCGGCGGCCGGCGGCCTCGCTTTTGTTCGGGGCGAACCCACCGTCCCGTGACGTCACTCGGGGCCCCAGCCAATCAGCGCGCGGGCTGAGGCGGCGGCGGGCGCACCGGGTGGGGGAGAGGGGTCGCGGGGAGGGGGGGGCCAGTCCTCCCTCCCCTCCCTCCTCCCCCCCCCGCCCCGCGCCCGGGGCCCCCGAGGGCGGCGGAGGGGGGGTGGGGCGGGAGGGGGGGTGGGGCGGGAGGGGACCGTCCCATATAAACCCCGCAGCTTTCGAGACTCCGTCGCCCGCAACAGCTGCGCTGCACCCGGGGGAGGAGGAGAGGGAGTCCCGGGCTGGCGCGGAAGGAGAGCCCTGCATCCTCGACTTCCCCGGCCCGCCCTCCCCGTCCCCCTCGGCCCCTCTCCCCGGGCTCTGCGGCCCCCCGGGCGTCAGCCCACCCGGAGGCCCCGGGAGAGACTTTGCACTGTAGGTGCAACTTGGTGACTAGTGAATCCCCGGGGTTCGAGGCGGCTGTCCCTCCACCCTCGCGATCCACGATGCCCAGGGGTCCGGGACCCCGGCTGCCGCCGCCGCCGCCGCTGCTGCTGCTGCTGGCCGCGGCCCTGTGCCTGGGCACCGTGGTGCCCGCCGTCGGAGCCTCGAGGAGCAAGAGGCAGGCTCAGCAGATCGTGCAGCCCCAGTCCCCGGTGCCCGTCAGTCAAAGCAAGCGTGAGTACCGGCCGAGGGCTGGGAGCGGCGGGGACCGGGCTGGGTCTCGCCGCCGACCTAGTCAGAAGTAAAGTTGTGGCTCAAGTTTTGCGTGCGTGTGCGCGCGCCCGTCCGTGTGCGCGTGTGCGCGCGTGCACGTCTCCTGGAGAGAAACCAGCTGTGGGACACAAAAGGGTCCTGGTGTGAATGGGCTGGCTTTGAGGGCTTAGCGGAGAGGAGATGAGGGGGGGATCTGCCGTGTTCCCTGGTGTCCTGATGAATCCTGCGTGATCAAAGCATCTTTGTTCTAAAATACGAATTAATCAAAATGTGCATTTAAAGGAAAAAATGATGCATGCCTATACAGTGCTCTTCTGGGATTCGTGTGGTTCTCTTTGCTCCTCATTTCTTTGTTACTAAGTGATTGGCCAGGTGGGGATGGGGAGAGAGGCTAGTTGAGTAGTTTGGTCGTTTGTAACAAACTTGCCCGAGGTGTAATTGGCTTAGATTGCTCTGAGAATTCCTCTGGAATTTTCTTCACCAAGAATTGAGATTGGAATTCCTCTTCCAATTTTTCAAAGACACACCCTCCCTTTCTTTCCCTGGGCTCAAGGAAACCTTAAAGTTAACCTTCTTGATTTATTTTTCCAAGATATTGAAGTTCCTTACATGGTTAAAATGTAATTTCAATTATCTGCCTTCCAAAGTGTTTCCACCGCTTTGATGTAGACCCCTGGCCAGATGGAAATGACATCATTTGTATAATGTTTAGTGAAGTTAAAAAAAAAACCAACATAAATATCCACTTATCCAAATTGTGTTTACCTCTTTAGATAACTTGCTTAGTTTCCATGTCTATCATTTAGTAGAATACTGCTTTTTATTTTTTGTGATTAACTTAATTTTTTTTTTTTCTGAATTTGGTGCTCAGGCTCATCAATTCAGTTCTGTGAGAAAATTCCTTAATTTGGAAAAAGGAGGGATGGCAACGTAATAACATTTTTCCTTTGGTTATTTACAGCTGGTTGTTATGACAACGGGAAACACTATCAGATAAACCAACAGTGGGAACGCACCTACTTGGGCAATGCTTTGGTTTGTACATGTTATGGAGGAAGCCGAGGCTTTAACTGCGAGAGTAAACCTGAAAGTAAGTGGAGAGAATCGGTCATTGGTCCTTAGTTTTGTTTTTTTTTTAAACAGATGAAAAGGGCTGCATGTTCTTCAGTTTGCTTATGAAAGTAATCAGATACCATAATCCTACCTACTCAGGAGGCTAAGAACTGAGGATCTCAATTTGAAGCCAGCTCAGGCATAAAAGTCCATGAGGCCCTTAATTCCAGTTAATCAGCAAAAAGCCAGTAGTGGAGGTGTGACTCAAGTGCTACCACTCCAGCCTTGACTGGAAAAAGCCAACCAAGAGTGCAAAGCCCTAAGTTTAAGCTGCAGTATGGGTACACACACACACACACAGAGTTGATTGGAAAGTCATCCTTAGTTTTTTTTCACTGTTTTATAAGCCAAAAAACACTTTGGGGCATTATATTGTAAAGTGGTTTGTCAACTGCAGTCCAGTGAAAAAAACCACTAACCACTTAACATACCTTGAAGACCTATGACATATTTCTTGTAAATCATAGCAGTTCCTTCAGAAAAGTCATAGCTGAGGCTCCAAGAGAGGTATTAGTAGAACTGACAAGGTCCAGTGCCTGCTGGGAGGTGACCATCTTCAAACTATTTCTTTTCTCTGTAGACTTTGGTTTTATTTCCCAAGTCACAGTTTGGATCTGAAATTCTTCCTTTTGAAATTGAACTGGTCATAGGGTCATAGTACTTTGTGCATTTCCTGAGCATACTTAACAATAGAAATTTTCAGGAAATTTGAGGACTTGTCAGAGGTCAAAATGTAACCAGACCTAAGATGAAATCTGTAACTCTTAACTTCAATTTTAAATTCCTGTTGAAAATGCCATGCTACTTATAACAATGGAAAAGTGAGTTCCCCGCCACCCCCCTCCCAGGATGGATTAGTGTTTGCTTTTAGTTATGTGAGATTCATGCAGTCCTTTTCTCCCCTTAGCTGAAGAGACTTGCTTTGACAAGTACACTGGGAACACTTACCGCGTGGGTGACACTTATGAGCGCCCTAAAGACTCCATGATCTGGGATTGTACCTGCATCGGAGCTGGACGAGGGAGGATCAGCTGCACCATTGCAAGTAAGGATGACACGCAAAATGATGATCAAAGATCAGAACTATTCATTTCTTTACCGCTATCACTGTCTTCTAACATTCAGATTTACTCTCATTGGAGTGATGACCAGGTTTTCATACATGGGCACCCTGCTGGTTCCCATGGTTCTGGAGATTGGGTCTTGAGGACTTGAAGAATCAGTGTTTGACATCTGTGGATTTATGAATGCTTATGCGAGTGTGTAAGACTGTGTGTGTGTATGTATGTGTAGCGTATAACTAAGTAAGTCTCATGGGCTCTGTTTCAGGAAGAAGTGCTTACATGAGTCACCTATCCTAAATTACCTGTTAACATCTTTTAGCCAGACTGGTTATGAGATTTTCTGCAACAATGGGAGGGACGTTCCTTAAGATAGACCCCACCATGTTTCTGCTCTTTCTGCTTGCAATGCAGAGACCTCTTGCTTGTCACAAACAACTCTGGTTCCACCCAGGAAGCAAATCTTTTCTGTTCTAGGGGGTAATATTAAATGATTAACCCAGTAGTCTTTTCAAGTAAGTTTAGACTGGGCTGACTTTCATCAACTCTGGCACTGCTAAGATAATCTTTTTTGGATGAGGGTTGTTCATACTTTCTATTAATATAGGTAGCACTTTAAAATCGGCTGTTTAAATATAAGTAATCTTAAAAACACTGTCTATAAGGACAAGCCAGTCCTTTACGAATAAATACTATCAGTATTCTCTACAGTTAAGTGTTATGATCTATCCGGTTTTCCTGGCACATCAGGAGTTAATGGCTCAAGCCAGGAGTAGTAGTATGCACTTGTAACACCAGCACTCAGAGGGCTGAAGCGGGAGGATCTTAAACTAAAGGCCATGTCAAGACTTCCTGAAAACAATACGGGAACAAAAGAAAGGTCCATAGTGTTTATAATCTAGTACAATGTAGTGGAGAGTTCAGCTTAGATGTGCCATTGGGTTTAACAGCCTAGAAAAGTCTCAAGACTTTCATGTGTGTGTCTGCTTGTCTTCCATTAAAATGACATTTGTATTCTATGGTAAAAAGCAGGCTCTCCCTATTCTCCGAAGTAGAATGCTGTGTGCCTGTCTCAGACTTTCTGGTGAAGTAGTGTTAGATTTTACCTACTGTGCATGGTTGGATATCACTCCCCCATCAGCCTTTCCTTTTTGCTTTAGAACCCAATCTCCTGTGATCTCATTGGGGAACTGGGATTTATAACCTCTTCTTTGTAATTCATGTCTCTGTAGTTTTCTCATTGTGCTTTGAGCAAGGTACCTAATTGAATTAAAGTGATCACATCTGTTCATTTTCTTTTTCTGTCTGCAATAGGAAAGCTATTCTTTGTGTTTCATTTTGACCAACCTATCCTGGAACGTGAGGCTTTTGCTTTTTTTCCTACTTGATTCTCTATCCCATTTTCTCCTAACATTTATTTGCCTTTTATTCTAAATAGATCGCTGCCATGAAGGGGGCCAGTCCTACAAGATTGGTGACACCTGGAGGAGACCACATGAGACCGGTGGTTACATGTTAGAGTGTGTGTGTCTTGGTAATGGGAAAGGAGAATGGACCTGCAAGCCTATAGGTGGGTGGCCCCTTGTGGATGAATGGGGGTGGGAACAGGCATGCATTGCTCTAATGTTAGGTTGAATGAAAGTCACGTCTACTTGGAGAAGAGATGTGAATTCCCATTTAAAAATAGTGAAATGGGAATTTTATACCAAGTGATGTGATATTGTATGATCTGCAGTATTCTTGAAGAAATCCGGTCACAAAATACTGACTGTGTATGGCAGCTTTAATTTTTGGTTTCAAAAGCACAAGAGTTGACACATTTAGGAAGAAGACATTTCTTTTGTTTATAGCCGATTGCAGATTTCTTCCTTGGTCGAGCTATAAGTTGTCTGAAAGGAAAAAAAAAAAAAAGATACTTTCGACACATCTCTTTCTTAGAATATGTTAGACTGGAATCCAAAATGACATGTGCCCTGTCTACACCTTGGTAATAACTTTTCAGAATAAAAACTCCTAGATTCTTTTAGTCTTGGTCCTCATTTGATTTGTGTAATTATAAACCCAAAACTTTTTGTCCCTTTGTTTCCTGATTCAGAGTTTTTTCTTTTTTCTTTCTCTTCCTCTTCTTCTCTTCCTCCTCCTCTTTCTCCTCCTCCTTCTTCTTTTTTGCTGGTACTGGGGCTTGAATTTGGCCTGGGCACTGTCCCTGAGCTTTCGTGCTCAAAGTTAGCATTCTACCAGTTGAGTGACATCTCCACTTCCTCCTCCTCCTCCTGCTGCTGCTGCTGCTGCTGTTTCTTCCTCCTCCTCCTGCTCCTCTTCCCCCTCCTCCTCCTCCTCCTCCTCCTCCTCCTCCTCCTCCTCCTCCTCCTCCTCCTCCTCCTCCTCCTCCTCCTCCTGCTCCTCCTCCTCCTCCTCCTCCTCCTCCTCTTCTTCTTCTTTTTGTTTATTTGAGTCTCACAAACTTTGCTGCCTAGTGTAGATTATAACCTTGATTTTCAGATCTCAACCTCTTGAGTAGCTAGGATTATAGGCATGGGCCACTGTCTTTGTTTTTATAGAAATTCAAATTTTTTAATAGCTTTCATGTCATCTTATTTTATTCATATTTCATCATTGGCCATTTATAATAATTAAGATTAGAATTTTGTATATATAGTTTCCAAAGGATTGTATTCATGTATTCTTCTCCCTCAGAATGCTAGTGGAAAGCTCATGCCTGGCTGAAAATAAGCAATCCATGTCCTCATTAGAAGAACAAAATTTCTGTCTGCCAACTTGGCTCAAACTCCCTTTTGCTTTGGCTACATGCTCTGTGCTTAGTTGCAGGGTGTGTGCCTTTCTTTCTGAACAGAGTGCCACTTAAAAGAAAATGTGGCTGGATTTTTTGCTTACATACTCCCCTTTAAATTACAAGGAGACTGTATCATTTAGAATAACCCTTTTTTCTGTGTTTCTTCCAAATTTTTATACAGCTGAGAAATGTTTTGATCATGCTGCTGGGACTTCCTATGTGGTTGGGGAAACGTGGGAAAAGCCCTACCAAGGCTGGATGATGGTGGATTGTACTTGTCTGGGAGAAGGCAATGGACGCATCACTTGTACCTCTCGAAGTACGTTTTAGATCTTTATGTTGAAGATTAGGCCGGGTACTGTTTGCTGATTCTCAAAGACAGTCATAAATACTATGTCCTATAGCACACACTCTGTGTTTTAATACTTTTAGGGTATCAAGAATAACCAGGACATTCTTGAGAGAGAAACTAAATAAATAGAAAAAGTCTAATTCAGTAATTAGACTTTGAGATACCAAAAAAAGAAATTTCCTATTTATTCAAGTGTTAAATGCATCTTCAGTGTTGAAGATTAGTTGCCAATGTGTAATCGAAATCACCAATCGGGTATTGTTTTCAAGTATTAAGAGGAAAGAAATGATTAAAATGTAGGGAAATGAATTCTGTGCTTAAAACTTAAATAAGGTATATTCATATGCAAAATTGTTGAAAATAAGAAGTTATCTCTTTGGTTATAGTTGTTTTACTTGAGTTAACAATGGTGTTCTTGGCCCCGGAATGTGGCTTAGTGGTAGAGTGCTTGCCTAGCATGCATGAAGCCCTGGATTCAATTCCTCAGTACCACATAAATAGAAAAAGCTGGACGTGGTGCTGTGGCTCAAGTGTAAGAGCGGTAGCCCTGAACCTTAGGAACAGTGCCCAGGCCCTGAGTTCAAGCCCCAGGACTGGAAAAAAAAAAAAGGTGTCTTGGAGCTCCTAGGGCTCACACTTTCAATCCTACCTAGCTACTCAGGAGGCTGAGATCTGAAGATCTTAGTTTAAAGCCAGTCCAGAGAATGAAAGTCCGTAAGACTCATCTCCAATTAACCACCAAAAAGCTAGAAGTGGATCTGTGGCTGAAGCAGTAAGGCTCAGGGAGTGTGCCCACGCTCTGAAATCAAAACCCAGGACCCATACAATGACAATAACAAAAAAAGAGTGAATGGTGTCTCTTGGCCAGGCAGTAGTGGCTCATGCCTGTAATCCTAGCTACTCCAGGAGGCTGAAATTTGAGGATCAAATTTTGAAGCAGCTCAGGGCAGACAAATCCAAGAGAATCTTCAATTACTGGAAGTAAACTTGAGGCTCAAGTGATAAGAGTACCAGCCTTGATGAAAAAGCTAAGCCAAAGACCCCGAGTTCAATTCCTAGTGGAGAAGGATGTCTCTTATATAAATAAAAATCTGTTGGTGCTATAAAGAAGAAGAGCTCAGGCATCTCTTCTGCCTCTGCTGAGATTGTTGCCATTAGTTTCAAAGCTCCATTTGTGGAATTTCAAGCTAATTTAAACTATAGAATTTGTTGAAGCAGAACTTAAAATCAAATTGAAATAACTTCAATCTATTTTGTTTATCTAGCTTAAAGTAGTTCTCGAGAAATATTTGTCCACCAAATTCAAATTCTTTGCTACCAAACAAATGAAAACTTCCATGAAAAATGAGTAAATCTGACTAAATATTTCCTTAAAAGTTAACTAGTTTATTAGAACTTCACATTTAAAATGTTAGGATCATCAATCAGTCTTCCAAGTCTAATTCAAACTCTTTATTATTTAAAACTTCTCTAATAGCAAATTGGGGAAAGTTTCTCAAAGGAAACTCATATATCCAATGAAATTTTATATTTTGTGAAAGATGGTACTAACACCACTTAGTAAATCAGAGATGAGAAAAGCTAATACACTTTTGTCATCCACAAAGTACAACATTAGAGGTTGTGAGAGAAATACAGAGATAGGATGTCTCTAGCTTTAGCTGGGGACTTGCATAAAGTTCCAATGATAAACAGTACCTGTGTTGCTGAGTTTAATAGTCTTTTCTTTTTAAAGCAACAACAACAAAACCTCAGTAGTTGAAATAACTGATTCACAAATAATTCTGAACCTCTATATTCAGATTGTAGCCTTTGGGCAGTGTTGAATTATAATTTCACTCTACTTGGTACAAAAATTAATACATATTAATTTAGTTATCTATTATTTTGCATAAATAATTCCACTTTTACCCATTGCATCAATTTAAGAGGACATTTTGCTGGTAGTTTCTATATATTTCATTTTGTCTGAGAAAGAAACCATTTTAGTCAAAGGAGTTGTTTGTCTCCTAGGACTGGGGTGTGGCTTTAGTAGTTAGCCTTTGCATGAAAGTCATCAGTCCCATTATAGCTTTCCTATCATTTCTTTTTTTTTTTTTTTGGTCAGTGGCGGGGCTTGAACTCTGGGCTTGGACTCATTTCTTTATTCTGAGGAAGGTTCCTCTTACAAAGGCCAGTCTTACAGAGTAATTACTAAGATAAAGTACAACAAAACCTTACATAGAAATTACTAAGGTAAAGTACAACAAAACAAAACAAAACACAAATCAGAATAGTAAAATGGTAAGGAACAAGTTTTTAAGGCAAATAGACCAAAGAAACCAAGCTAAACCACACACTTATTTTTAAATTGGCAAATGTAGTTCCTTCTTTCAAAAGTCTAATATCTGCTATACCAGCACTATAGATGGAGATATTACCAAAAAAAAAAAAAAGTTAGCAATTCAATGACTCTATTCCTGTCTTAGGCTTGAATTGACCACTTGTGACTCTCGACCTGATTCATGTATTTAAATGATTTCCTTTCTGAAACAGACAGATGCAATGATCAGGACACACGGACTTCCTATAGAATTGGAGACACTTGGAGCAAGAAGGATAATCGAGGGAACATGCTCCAGTGTGTCTGCACAGGCAATGGCAGAGGGGAATGGAAATGTGAGAGGCATGCATCTCTGCAGACCACATCATCTGGTGAGGCCTGGGTCTGGAGGGGTAGGGGAAAGGGAAGGCTGGTTGGTAGACTTTCTGCTAATAATCTGAGGTCACTGATACATTGTTACTTTTAAGCTTTTTTTGAATGTCCAATTTCAAGCTTTGGGGAAAAAAAATTAAGTGAAGATGAAAGTGAATCTTTGGCTGGGTGCTAATAGCTCACACCTGTAATCCTGTCTACTCAAGAGGCTGAGATTTGAGGATTGTGGTTTGAAGCCAGCTTGGGCAGGAAAGTCTGTAAGACTCTTATCTCCAAGTAACCAGAAAAAAGCCAAAGTGGAGCTGTGACTCAAGTGGTAGAGTACTAGCCTTGAGTACAAAAGCTCAGGGCTAGTGTCCAGGCCCTGTGTTCAAGCCCCAGGATGAGCCCATACACACCAAAAAGAATTTTCGCAATGAAGGGTAGAAATTTAATAGAAATATTATTGGGGTAGGGATATGGTTCAAGTGGTAGAACATCTGCCTGGCAAGCACAAGGCACTATCACACCTCAGAACTAGCATTTAAAAAAAATAAGAGAAATGTGTGTATAAGGCTCAGGGGCAGAGTTGCATGTTTATTCTTAGTATGCTCAAGAACCTGGGTTCGATCACCAACACTAAAACAAATAATAAATGTAAAAGTTAAAGAAGTTTTCATGATTTCTGGCATAGTAAAGATATGTTTTTGTATCATAAATGTTTTATAAGAGTCTAGACAGAGAAATCTGTCCATCAAGGGTATATGATGATGGCACAAATGTGGTACCCGGCTATGCCTGTTACGCTAGCTACTCAGGATGTTAAGAACTGAAGATTGAGGTTCAAAGCCAGCCTCCGCAGATAGGTTTCTCTTATCTCTAATTAACCAGCAAAAAGCTAGTAGTGGAGGTATGGCTCAAGTAGTAGAGCACCAGCCTTGAGCAAAAAAGCTAAGTGAGAGCACAAAACCTTATGTTCAAGCCCTAGTCCCAGCACTAAGAAGAAGAAGAAAATAAGGAAACATGGCCATTAAGAGCAGCTCAGTGGAATGAAGCAGAGAGTAAGAAAGAAAGCCGGATTTGAGTCTGGCAAGAAGTTAGCTTTGAAGGATTCTGGAGCTCATGGACTGTGAGTTTCCTGTTATAAGTAAGGATTTCTTGGAAATACTTGCTTGGTAGAGTAGCAACATACTATCTGTCACTTAGAAATACAATCGTGGCAGCTCCAGGTGAACTGGTGGTAGAGTCTTGTGGATTATTTCTTAAGCTGAAGATAGAAGGTACAGTGAATAATGGAAAACATATTTCTTCCCGGTTCAGGTAATTCCCGTGGGATCATGAAGGTCCTGACTCCAAAGTCTTTCGTTGTCTTCTCTCATCTACTTTTGTGACTTTTCATTTCTTGTCTCTTTAGGATCTGGCTCCTTCTCAGATGTCCGGACAGCTATTTATCAGCCCCAGCCTCAGCCCCAGCCGGGTCCCTACGGCCACTGTGCATCTGACAGCGGTGTCTTCTACTCTGTGGGGATGCAGTGGTTGAAGACCCAAGGAAATAAGCAAATGCTGTGTACTTGCCTGGGCAATGGAGTCAGCTGCCAGGAGACAGGTATGTGATACCTTTCCAAAGAGCAACACAAGTGACCTTATTAATTAGTTGGGTTTTTTTTGTTTGTTTGGCAAGGCAATACATTTGAGTATAAAGCAATAAAAAAAAACAAAAAAGCTTATAATCCTTCTACCTCTTAATGACAACCACAGTGACATTTGATGGATTTTTTTTCAGCCTTTCTAATCTGTGTGTTTTCCTTCCTGTGATTGGCATTATGCTACTATGTATTCCCTCTATTTGCCAAAAATGTTCCTGCAAGGGCTGCTTTTTGAATAGCTGATTATCCATAGTTTATACTCTTAAAAAAATCTCAGTGGTTTTTGACATGTAGTTATCTCAAAGTTATCTCTTCTGGGCTACAAACATGGTAATTAAAAAAAGTGTCTTTCTCGGAAAAAAAAAAACAGATTTCCTTAAAGTGGGCTCAAATATATTATGTTTATTATATCACAGAAGTATGCATACTTATCCCCAGAATCATCTTTAGAACAGTTATTCTTAATTACCCTAAATTTGCATAGTTTTACATGTAGAATAAACATAGAGAAGGCCCCAGGAGTAAGTAGCCAAGGGCATCCAGGGAACTCAAGTCTTTGGCTGTCTCCACAGCAGGCCTGGCTCTCCTGATGGAGTCCTGCTTTAACTGCAGATGATTATCTATATGCACAGCTTTTTCCTTTGAGGGCACAAGCTCAGTCTCTCATTTTAAGCTATAAATAAGCAGCTGTTAGTGGGAGGCAAAGCCGTTCTCTTGACTGAGACGTTTCTGTCTTTGTGTGTGCTTGTAGCTGTGACTCAGACTTATGGTGGCAATTCAAATGGAGAGCCCTGCGTCCTCCCCTTCACCTACAACGGCCGCACCTTCTACTCCTGCACCACAGAAGGGCGGCAGGATGGACATCTGTGGTGTAGCACAACTTCAAATTATGAGCAGGATCAGAAGTATTCTTTCTGTACCGACCATACTGGTGAGTGTCCCAGTAGAGACCACAGGGTGTGGGGGGGAAACCCATTCTATTTGCCAACTGTTGAACCATTAATTGTAAGGTTACACAAGGAGCTTCCCATGGGATCTGTTTGGACCCAAGAGATATGGAGCTAACTCAGCAGCAAGGCTCATTCCCTGGTCTCCTGTACCACCACTGTGAAACCACACCCAGGGACAAGCCCTCCAGTGCAATTATCTCCACATGGAGGGATTATGCTGTGATTAAAGATGCTCATGCGTGGAAATACATTGAAATTTGTAGAAGGTCCCACAAGGCTGTGCATTCATATGCACAGCATGGATATCTGAGAGACTTTGCTTGTCTTCCTTCTGGTTAGGATTATATTTTCTACAAAGCTATCACTTAATCTTTTTTGTTTGTTTGTTTCTTCTTGGCTCAGAAAAATGAATGGAATGAGATTGAAATCTATTTTGAAAGTGAAGATAAAAATAGACTAAGAAGCTTAAGACTATATTTATATTATCTGACATCTTTTATTCTGGTAGAGGATGTCTGGGAATTAGCTTAAGAAACCTGGTACTCTCTGAGCCTTTCCATTGTAACCTATCCCTTCCTATTTGTATTGTCCTGGCAGTTTTGGTGCAGACTCGAGGTGGAAATTCCAATGGTGCCTTGTGCCACTTTCCTTTCCTGTACAACAACCACAATTATACTGATTGTACTTCTGAGGGCAGGAGGGATAACATGAAATGGTGTGGAACCACACAGAACTATGATGTTGACCAGAAATTTGGATTCTGTCCCATGGCTGGTAAGATGAAACCCTGTGGGTTGCCTATATATATAAAACCCCTTAGGGGGCCAGAGCAGAGACTGGGGTTCTGTTTATTTCTGTTTGGTTCATTTAGATGATATCTATGTATCTCTCTATACATCCTATCATATACGTAAGAATGGAGAGGACTATATAACTATATAATTATTGGCATACTTTTTTGTTGTGAGGCTTGAACTCAGAGCATGGGTACTGTGCTGTCCCTTAGCTTTTTCATGATCGAGTCTGGTACTGTACCACTTAAGCCACAGTTCCACTTTTGAGGTTTTGGTAGTTAATGAGAGATGAGAGTCTCAGCCTCCTGTTGAGTAGCTAGGATTACATGCATGAGCCACCAGTGCTCAGCTTTTAAAATTCCATTGGTGTGATCTGGTGTCAATAGCTACATAAATAATCAAATCCTTTTTTGTTGTTGTTAAGTCTGGAAATATAAATTTGCAAAAGTACTATCTTCTGTGGGAGCACACAGCTAAGAAATCAAACTGACTGCTGTAGTCCCAGACCTACAGTTCTTGATACGAGGCTTTGGTTTGACTGATATAAGCTCTACCACTTATCAAGTGCCATGACCAAACACATTTTCTGACAAGTAGGGAATGTTTTTATTTATTTAGTTTCTTGAATGAACAAAAGGGAACCAAGGCCTTTTTATTTGTTTTCAAATTTCAAGAGTCATGTTGATGACCTTGAATTTTCCAGTTGTAGAACCAGGAACCTGTGCCCTGTGTAGTAAGAGACAGGAAAACCATTTATACTTTCATTTTGCTCGTTTCAACAAATAATAACATTGGGTTTAGGAGGAAAACTTTTTTTCTTGACATTCTATACCCAAATACATAGCTTATCTTTGAGAACTATTCTAAACCAGAAATAGGACAAGTTACAAGGCAGGCTTCTAGAACAATGTAAAGCCTTTGAGTCAATGTGTAGGTATTATTTTAGTTGAACACCCCTCAGCCCTTCTGTAATGCTTTCCTATAGCATATCGTACCTTTGAATAATTTTCTCCCTCAAAACTGTACACTTCTGCTAGTTGCACTTAGAGATTTTGAAGGCACTCAAGGCTTCTTCACAACTGAGAATATGTAGAATGACCAATCTGGACTATTGTATGCATACCCATTTGGACCCTGTGATTGCTTATCAATGTACTTCTGATCTATTTCCAAACAGCCCACGAGGAGATCTGTACAACCAACGAGGGAGTTATGTATCGCATTGGAGATCAGTGGGATAAACAGCATGACATGGGTCACATGATGAGGTGCACGTGTGTTGGGAATGGTCGTGGAGAGTGGACGTGTGTCGCCTACTCCCAGCTCCGAGGTATGCTGGTTTATTGAAAATATCTGAGAGCCACGAGTGCCGAGAGGTGGGGTTGGGGTGAGGAGAGAGTGAGGAGGGAAAGACGGAGGAAGAAAGTATGGAAGTACGGAAGGAGAGAGAAAAGAAAGAAGGAAAGAGATAAACAAAGCTGGCTCAGCAGTTCTAGGTTTCTGGAACATTCCCAGCATTTAACTACTTAGGCTCAACCAAAAAGATAAACGTAAAAGACAAAATCATCAAGATTTGAATCTTGGAGCTTCAGGTTTTGCCCTGGATTCATATCTAGAAAAGATCAGATCATTTCTGTAAATAAAAAATACTTTGCTAATCAAAAAGCAGGTCCTACGAGATCCAAGTTTAAGACAAATTAGAAATTAAATTCCTGTTTTCCCCTTTGGACTCAGATATATGAAGAATTGTTGGCTTTTTGAAAACTGTTTTAGTTTTTCCTTTCTTTGATTTGAAAAATAATATTTAAATAGAACTCTGGGCTAATAAATAATTTATGTGGTTAGTTTGTACACACTGGTCTGCTTCTGTTCTTTTTGTGGTGTCCTATGGGCAGCATGACTCAGGAGTAATAATTTACATATGATACTACAGAACAGAACTGAACGGAACCTTAGTAGGTTTTTTTAATTGTGAAAATACTGTATAGAGGAGTTAGAATTACATGGGCAAGATAATGAGTACATTTCTTATCAATTGTTGCCTCCTCCTTTGTTTCCCCCCCTCCCCATCTCTCCCCCCATAGTAGGTTTTATGAGACTAAGGTTCTTATTTTACATATGAAGAAGCAGAGATCCAAAGAGGGAAAGCAATCTTCTCAGGATCTCTTGGAGAGTGAGGAACAAAATTCAAATACTATATGCACATGCTGTTTTATTTCAGTCTAAGTCCACCTATCTTTTTCCCTTCCCCATTTCCCATTCCAATGCAAAGACCACCGCACTCTGCTGTGTCTTCCACAAACATGTTGAATCATCTCATTATAACAAAAAGAAATTAAAGGGAAGTTATCAACTAGGCAAGGACTATAACAACTAGTACATGTGTTTATTCAAAATTGGTTTTTCACAGTGAGGTGTATATATTTTTTTTTACCATATTCTTGAGTTGTATCTACTGATGTTACAGGTCTGTAAGAGAGAAATTTTGAAAAGAGGCAAAAATTGTATTACCAAGTTTAGAAGGGAAACAAAGTGCTTATTCTATCTAAGTCAATAGCAAAGCTGATTTCCTGAAAAGTCTCAGCAATCAAGGAGAAGAATCATCTGTTTTGAAAAACATAATTTTGTTCATCAGTGGAATTTAAAAACTGCTTCACCCCTCCAATTGCTTCCCAAACAGATCAGTGCATTGTTGATGACATCACGTACAATGTGAATGATACATTCCACAAGCGTCATGAAGAGGGTCACATGTTGAACTGCACCTGCTTTGGCCAGGGCCGGGGCAGATGGAAGTGTGATCCCATTGGTAAGTAGCCCCCTCTTGCTGGATGATTTTGGATGTGGAGAATGCTTAGCCAGTTTTAGATATAGCCAGCAATTAGTTTTTCTGTAGCTGAAGTTGACTAGGACTTTAATTGTTTGCAGAAAGCTTTGCAAAGTCTTTTCTTTCATTTCAAACTAATGTATCATCTCAATTGTAATCATCTGGCTTTTGCTGGATTGGGTGACGTTTGCAGGTTTTCTTTAATTGAGAGGAGTTAGGGCTTTGGTTCTGCATCATTAAGATAATCAACTTTCCTTTGCTGATTGTAGAATAATAGGGCCAAAGATGAGGCAAGCGAATGCCTCCTCCAAAATACTCTTAATTTAATTTTGGCTGCTCAGTGTGACAAAATTGGGCAGAGTGAAGGTTTGTCCTTAAACAAGCTAGGTTGCTAGCACTCCAAGTATAAGGTAATCCATTAAAAATTCCTTTACTTAAAGAGAGATTGCTCACTGGGAAAATAAACCAAGTCAGTTTGTTTGACCTGAGATTGCCAAAGCTGACACAGACCCAAAGAGATTTTCTTAGAAGCTTCTTAGTAGTTAATCTTAGTTAAAATCTACATGATTGACCTAAGATTAGGTCCTCTAATAATTGGAATTTTTTCCTGGCTATTCAAATAGTATAGCTGATATGGATAAGATAGACTATCTAACTGGGCACCAGTGACTCAGGCGTAAAATCCAAGCTACTTAGGAGATTGAAATCTGGATGGTTTGAAGCCAGCATGGGCAGCAAAGTCTGTGATACTGTTATCTCTAATTAAGCATTAAAAAGCTAGAAGTAGAGCTATGGCTCTAGTGATAAAGTGATAGCTAATCTTGAGCAAAAAAGGGGTATTACCCAAGCTCTGAGTTCAAACCTCAGGATGAGCATGCACGCACACACACACACACACACACAGAGTATCTATTTAAGAAATTAATATTCATTTCAGCCAGGTGCCTGTGGCTCACACCTAGCTACTCAGGAGGCTGAGATCTGAGGATCGTGGTTCAAAGCCAGACTGAGCAGGAAAGTCTGTTAGATTCTTATCTCCAGATAACCACCAGAAAACTGGAAATGGTGCTGTGGCTCAAGTGGTAGAACACTAGCCTTGAGCTGAAATGCTCAGGGACAGTGCCCAGAGTTCAAGCCATATGACCGCCAAAAACCCAAACCAAAACAAAAAATTCACATAATCAGTATTTGTCAAACTTCGTAAAAAAACATCTGTAAAAATGTTTTTCTGGCATATTTTCTAGACCAGTGTCAGGATTCAGAAACCCGGACATTTTATCAAATCGGAGACTCGTGGGAGAAGTACGTGCACGGCGTCAGATACCAGTGCTATTGCTATGGCCGGGGCATTGGGGAGTGGCATTGCCAACCTCTGCAGTCCTACCCAGGTGAGCAGCTCTGAGACTGTGCACTGAGGACCAAACAGCACTGTTCAGTGTTTATTAATGGCTTAAGCTCCACGTGGGGATTCTTCTCTTTGCCATTTTTTTTTTTTCCTCCAATGGTTGAACTTTTGACAGAATTTCCCTTTCTCCTCCCATCAAGAAAAAGGTAGGAAATTGTTTACTCACTCACAATTTAGTTTCATATACTGTAGACTATCCCATTAGGTTAAACCACTTGAGCTCATTTGATCTCTTGTCTATCTATACGTGGAAGTAGAAACCTTGGATTGAGGTGTCCTGGGAATAGAGTTAAATACAGTTCTTAAAAGTAACAGCGAAGAGGGGGCATGGAATATAATGTGGGTATGTTTTCTTCTACCATGTTCTCTGAGGCCTTCTTGTGTCAAACTGTCCATTTGTTTGATGAGTTCAAATATGGAACAGAGTATTCTGGGTCAAGCATTGAGTAACTTGGTCAACTCTGCCTGTATAGTTCAAACACTTTCAAATGTTTATTGCTTTTTTTTTCCCAGGTCACAATGACATGATTTCTATCTGTAGGGTTAGTCATAGATTTTTGGGAAAAGCATGATTTAAAATTTACTGAGGGCTAGGGAAGGTGGCTCAGTGGTAGAGTGCTTGCCTTTCATGCATAAGGCCCTGGGTTCCATTCCCCAGCACCACATTAACAGAAAAAGCCGGAAGTGGTGCTGTGGCTCAAGTGGTAGAGTGCTAGCCTTGAGCTGAAGAGCTGAGGGACAGCGCCCAGGCCCAGAGTTCACGCTCCCATGATCGATCCCCCCTCCAAAAAAAAAAAAAATTAGTGAGTGATTGTAATTAGACATGTTGAATTGGGGACATCAACTTACCAGACATCAGTTATTTGCATGGCTCCTAGATATTTTGAATGACTCTCCTAACTTTAGACAATAAATATGTCCTCATTCACAAGCAAAATGATTTAGGGAGTTTCTGAAATTAAGATTAGATGAACTCAGTGCCTCCATAATGTGATGAGAGATGCTCTGTGATCGAGAACAAACTAGAAGGCCAGGCCCTGGATCCCAGCTCTGAACGTGCTGCCATTCAGATACCAGTCACACCCCACTCTTTCGCTTCCTCATCTATAGAATGGGAAGATGGTGAACAGCCCTGACTTGGCTTTCACATGTTTATGGAAAGACACTTCTTAAGTTGTATTTCCTGGTGGATTCAGATGTGGAATCACTCTGGATTTTGTTGTTGTTGTTTTTCAGTTGAGTTTTAAGTTTGGTTACAGCAGTATTGTGAGTTGAGAAGATAATTTGTTCAGAAATGTCTAAAATAATCCTCCTTCATTTCAATGGCTACTAGTGTGTTGAAATTATTTTCCGTTGTGTCAAAAATAGTTGAAAATTATTTCTCTTGATCTTTGTTCTGGTTCTGCCTCTATTTCTCTTTCTGTTTCTGTCTGTCTGTCTGTCTCTCTCTCTCGCTTGCTTGTTCTTTCTGGTGCCAGTTCTTTCTTGGGCTTGAATCTAGGGGGAAGGTGCTGTTTTTAAGTTTTTTTACTCAAGACTAGTGCTCTACCCCTTGAGCCACCACACTGCCACTAAAATCTGTTACTCTACATGGAGATTTACCTGTTGACTTTGTCCCTACTTTCTAAAAAGGGCAACATCAAAAAGGCCCACTGAGCCCTTTTGAAAAGAGGGAGAGTGGGGAGGGGTGCTTGACCTCAGACATGCTGTGTGGTAGTTATCCGCATGTCTGGTTTGTCCAATGTGTGGGCTGTGAGCGTGTGGAAAGAATAAAGAAACAACAGATTACCAATAGATTGTCTCTGAGCCTTGCCCTGTTGGCTCTTCCTACAGAGGTTTAGAAGAGTTGTCCAAACTAACAGAAGATAAGAGTCTTTGATTTGTCAATAAGCAACTAGGAAAACACAGCTCTCAGCAAATTAAGTAGAGGGAAGAAGGATTGAGTTGAAAAAATGATAAATGTTTAACTTCTCCAGGGTCACCATAACTGGAAGTGATTCAGTGTGAGCTTAGTTTAAACAGATTTTGAAAGTGCATAAATTGTATCATGCCTGCTTCTTCTTAACTAGTTTAGAGTTAAGTTTGATCGTATTGAATAAGAGAAGTAAAGATTTCACAGTGGTAATTGCTCATATAAGACCGAGTGGTTAATGAAATAATTACACCAAATAACTAGAATCAAAAAGGATGGTCAGACTGAATAGGGAGCCCCACACCTGTAAATCCCCGCACTCAGGAAGTTAAGTCAGAAGTAGCATGAACTTGAGGCCAGCCTGAGATTCTTGGCAAGTTAAAGGCCAGTGTGAGCTACATAGAGAAACTTTGCTTTAAAAAGCAAAAGAAATTAAAGAAGAAGAAAAAATACAATGAAATTATTAGAAATTTAAATAATGTATATGTGTGATTTTCAACTTTTCTGTCTTCCAGTTGTATGTAGCATAGAATTACAAAAATGTGCTAAGTGACCACTGCTGTTTAGTGTGGTTCCCTTAAAGATGAACTATGTCCTGTGCCTGAGATTTAAAAGGTAGAATTCAGTAGTTTTGATCCATTGTAGCAGGAGTTAAAATCACTGCAGAAACCTCACTCTTTCCTTTCCTTCCCCTTCTTCATACTCCTGTTTGTGTCCTTGTGGGTATAGTAGCACAATTAGATAATAAAAGTCATTAGTATTGACTTTCTGTTTTATTTATTTATTTGCTTATTTATTGTTGATCATGGGGCTTGAACGCAGGGCCTGGTCACTGTCCCTAAGCTTTTCTGTTCAAGGCTAGAGCTCTGCCACGTGGAGCCATAGCCCCACTTCTGTTTTTCTGGCAGTTAATTGGAGATAAGAGTCTTGCCCAGGGGTGGCTTTGAATGGTGATCCTCAGATCTTAGTGTCCTGGGTAACTAGGATTGCAGGCATGAGCTACCAGTGACTGACTAATATTGACTTTTAAAGAATTATTTTTTTGTAGACAATTTACCATCATAAACTTTTTTCCCTCAGTCATTACTGATACAACAAGTAAATTGTCTTCTGTAACTGAAAAGATTATAGTAGGAAATCTTTGAAGGACCAATATTTAAACAGCCTTATGCGGATTATTGTTAATGACTTAAAGACATGGCAGTCTTATTTTTAACTGAAGTATAAATATTTAAAATTTAAAGGTCTAAAATTTTGTTTAGGTATTTGTCTTTTAAAACTTGCTTGAGGGCCCGGGAAGGTGGCTCAGTGGTAGAGTGCCTTGCATGTATGAGGCCCCGGGTTCGATTCCTCAGTACCACATAAGCAGGAAAGTCCAGAAGTGGTGCTGTGGCTCAAGTTATAGAGCCTTGAGCTGGGGGACAGCACCCAAGCCCAGAGTTCAGGCCCTACCACCTACAAAACAAAACAAAAAACAAAGTTATTCATGCTTGAATGTAAGCTTTCATGAACAAAGAGCCATAGAAAAGAAATATCTGGCATTTTCTGTGAAGTGTAAGAATGGAAAACAGTATTTTACATGTGAATTTTCATGTGTCTTGGATATGTATGCATTAATGAAATTAAGATTCCAAGTTGGTCTCCAGATATTTCTAAAGTAGTCTCCAAAGGAGACTACAAATATTTTGAAGTGTTCAGCCAACTTTGAATTATTGTCAGTATAGTAATGAGTCTATTATTTTAGAACTTTCGAGTCTACAGGGATTGACAAGTAATATAATTGTTCTGCTAGAGAAATTTTTGTTTGCAAAGATAATTTAACAGCTGAGATAGATGACAACTAAGTTTGAAAATCAATATACTTGTTCCTAAGAGCCTTCAGAAAACTTAAATGTGTTAAAAGACTAGAGAAATACCTTATTAAATGGAAAATATTTTTGAGAAATTCTTGGGAAGGATTATGACAAGGAACCTTTTACAAATGAGTTTTAACTGATAATATAATGTTTAGAAGAAAGATAATTTTCTATTCTATAAACATATTTTCCTAAATGGAGTCTACTGTATTAAGAAATTTAGTTTATTTTCACTTTTTTTTAATGAAAGAACTCAATCTGTACTTGACATTTTGTTTATTAGTCACACCTATCAAAATATGAAACGTTGTCATAATGTCATTTCCATAGTTAGCGGCTTTTGAATAAAAAAAGTTGGATCTCTTAAAAATTTTGACCAATGGTTATTAGAGTATTTCTCTTGAATAAAAGTAAAATTAGATTTCTTTTTCCATACTAAGACTGGTGAGAAATAAAATTGGCTTTTTAATGATTAGCTTTGTCTATTTGTCTAAGATTCTACCCTATTTAGAAATGTGTTTGTTTTACATCATATCATATGGCCTTTGGAATGTGGTTTCCTTCTTAGTAGATGCATTAGTGACGAAAACATCCACACATGAGAATTGGCTGTAACAGAGGCTTAGTGCAATCAGTACATGGAATTTGTACTCTGAATTGCAATATTTGTATGAAGGCACTTTCAAGAGGGTCTCAAAATTCTTACTTTGAAAATAGAGAAAGCTGGGTGCTGGTGGTTCATGTCTGCAATCCTAGCTATTCAGGAGTCTGAGATCTAGGGATAGTGGTTCAAAGCCAGCCCAGACAGGAAAGTCCATTAGTCTCTTATCTCCAGTTAACCCCCAGAAAACCGGAAGTGGCACTGTGTGGTAGAGTGCTAGCTTTGAGCTGAATTGCTAAGGGACAGCACCCAGGCCCAGAGTTCAAGCCCCACAACTGACAAAAAAAATAAAAAAAGAGAGAAAAAGAAAAAAAAAAAAGAAAATAGAGAAGAAAGCATGCCAAGATACTTAATCTTTTTTTCAAAATGATTTGTTATAAAGCAATTCTACTTATTTCTTGTGAGAAAGACAATAATTATCAGCTAAAAAAGGATCTGTTGCATTGTTTCCAGTGTTAGCATATAAAGGGCTAAGCTTAATAGTTTCTTTTTGACTTCTGTTGTTATAAAAGCAATGTATGGAGGGGTTAGTTACATAAGTCAGGTAATGAGTACATTTCTTTTTGGATATTGTCACTCTTTCTCTTGCTCTCTCCTAGTTATTCCCTCCCATTCCCACCCACAAGTAATATCGTTCATTTTCAGCATAGTGTCCAGTAAGTACCACTGCTGCTTTTGTTCACCCCTTGTCCTTCCCACCTAATAGTTTTTATTATACTCATAGTTACTGGTAAGCAAACTGTCTTTAATGATGGCCATAGGTGTATATTAACTATAAGTCAATGTGGTGAGTGAATAAAATAGCATGACCAAATCTCCCATTTCCATTTTCAGGTACAAGTGGTCCTGTCCAAGTAATTATCACTGAAACCCCCAGCCAGCCCAACTCTCACCCTATCCAGTGGAATGCACCAGAACCATCTCATATCACTAAGTACATCCTCAGGTGGAGACCTGTAAGTATTCTCCCAGAAACCTGGGGCACTGGGGCTCCTGACCTTACCAAATCTGGATGTGCTGTCCTGTTTGTTTGTTTAGCTTTGATTCCACAGATCTGAGTAGCTATCAGATAGCATTTGTATTTTCTTAGTGACCAATTGACATGTGGTCAGTCACATTAGAGTGTAGCTTTGGTTGACTTGTATAGTATTTAGAAGACATTAGATGTTTTTTTTAAAAAAATGTTGAATGTTTAATGATAGTCCAAACTATTCTTTACTCAATCTTTTATTAAATGTTGCATATAATACCCTTAAATTGAATTCATATTTGGAAAAATTGATGCACTTTGGATATAGCTTACCTGAAGTCAAGGCCTCTACCCCCACTTGGTTTTTACTCTTCAAGGTTGGCATTTTACCACTTAAGCAACAGCTCTACTTTGAGCTTTTTGCTTGTTAATTTGGGAAAAGAGTCTCATGGACTTTCCTGTCCAGGCTAGCTTCAAACTTTGATCCTCAGATCTCAGCCTCCTGAGTAGCTATTATTATAGGTGTGAGATACTGGCACCTGGCTTTTTTTTTTAATGCCATCTATTTTTTTGTAATACCATTATATTCCAGAATTTTCTTATGATAACAAACAAAAAACTACTATTGAATAAAAGTCTGTTGCTAGTTTTGAGCTACTCATAATGACTAATTTCAATTTTTTTACAATATAATTTTATTGAAATTTAAAATTAGAGAGCATTTAAGATCATTTTCATTTACCCCAAAATATATAAACAGGCACTTGAACATTGGCATTATTAACAAGCTGGTTGATTGGGTAATTAAATAAAATCACTGAGCACCAAATATGTATTTTGATCCTTGCACTGCTGTAGACTATTTACACTTAGAAGGATTTCATCTTGTTTGAAGTTGAGGTGTTTCTTATCCACTCATTGGATTGCAATGAGCTTTGTGATCCATGACATTAATGAAATTGGGTGGATGTCAAGATAAAAAACTGGAAACAAAAGATTAAATAAACTGAAATGACATTCTTTTCCAGTCTTCCCTAAAGTGGGCTCACCACTCTGCATGGGGGAGTTCTTTTCCAAGTATGAGTGACAAAACCACACCAGTTGAATCTCTCCATGATGGCCCAGGGTCTGAGTCAAAGCATTGTTATGCTTTTGGATGTTTCTGCCAGGCAAGAAACGTGAAATGTATCCCAAGTTAAGAGACAGAATGTATGGCCTTTTTTCACTCTAGAAAGAACCAATCTCTGCTTATTGTAAAAGTGAAAGAATTGGAAGAGATGAAACCTAGGCTCCTGTTATTAAATAATTAAACTACTAAACACTCAGACTAAAGGGAAAGGTATTCAGTGCCTGCAACAGTGTAACTTCCAGCCCGTAACCCTTTGTTTCTCTACTTCTAAAATGAGAGCAAAGCAGTAATCACTTCTGGGTATAGAGGGTTGAGAGATGAAGATTAATGGCAACAAGTAAGAAAAACACCACAACATGTACATGGTAAACTCCAAGGAGGTACAATTCTAATAGTAATCCTTAATAAGTCTCTACTCCAATTCCAGTTCTGTACGACTTTCATCCAGAATGGAGCTATAAAAGATCCCTCCTCCTTTGAGTGATATACAGAACACTCTTTCTGAAGGTCCATCCTTGAAAACACTTGTGTGATAGTTTCTTTTAACCTAAAATTGCAGAAAACGTCTACGGGCCGTTGGAAGGAAGCCACCATCCCAGGCCACTTAAACTCGTACACTATCAAAGGCCTGACCCCAGGTGTGATATACGAGGGGCAGCTCATCAGCATCCAGCAGTATGGCCAGAGAGAGGTGACCCGCTTCGACTTCACCACAAGCCCGAGCACACCTGTCACCAGTACGTGATGTCCCCTAGAATCCTCCTGTGGGCCCCAGACATGGGCTCCCTCAGGAAGTGTTCCGTCTCAGATCGTATTCTTCCAGGAATGGCACCTGCATTGTCAGATGCATATTCTGCAGGCGAGGATGGTGAATGTTCTAGACAGCTGAATGGTTTGCTTTCTCCCTTTTCTTCTACCCTCTAGGCAACACTGTGACAGGAGAGACAGCACCCTTTTCTCCCGTTGTGGCCACTTCTGAGTCGGTGACTGAAATCACAGCCAGCAGCTTTGTGGTCTCATGGGTCTCTGCTTCGGACACCGTGTCAGGATTCCGAGTGGAGTATGAGCTGAGTGAAAAGGGCGGTGAACCACAGTATCTTGGTGAGCAGAATGTGGGGCTCCTGTGAGTTTGGAGGGGCTGTTGATAGACAGCTCCACTCAGGTTCCAGGCTGGTAGTCTCTGAAGCTAGTCTATAGCTGAAATGGAATGAATAAACTCCCCTCCATGAAAGGAAACTTCTGTGACTGAACAAACTCCCCTCCCCTTGTTTCTAAGCTAACTGAGTTTCTTTGAACCCTTTGCACTACTGTTCTGGTCGATGGTGGCACTTTATCCTGCAATTGTCTGGGCACCAGTTCATGAAGGGATTGATTGCCAGTATGAGAATCACAGTGGACAGTGTTAGCTTTTAGGGGGCATGCAGTCCCTTCATGTACGCTTTTCAAATTCTCATGGCTAGAGATTCTTGAAAAGTTTGTTGAAATCTACTGTGTGATCAGCAAATTTTCAAGAATCATCAGGAAAATTCCTCCTACATCCTTTCACCCACTTCCTAAATTGGTTATTTATTAGTATACTTCCTTCTAGTTTTTTCCCCCACAAATATATAGTTCTTCCTCTATGAAGTTTGCTTTGGCCAATTACCTTTCTGTTTTCTTTTGAAGACCTTCCAAGCACAGCCACTTCTGTGAACATCCCTGACCTGCTTCCTGGCCGGAAGTACATTGTCAATGTCTATCAGATATCTGAAGAAGGAAAACAGAGTTTGATCCTGTCAACGTCGCAGACTACAGGTACACACGTGTATGGTGTTCATCTTTTTGCTGTGAGGCAGGCTTGTTATCCCAGCATGGGAGGTTGAGTGAGGCAGGAAGATTTTGAGTTCAAGGATAGCCTGAGCTATGTGTATAGCATGACTATCTTAAAACAAAACAACAACAAAAAACCCTCATCCACAGGAGGCCTTCTGTAAAGGGTGGGTCTTGCAGCAGCACAGTTGGCCACATTTTCTCCTTTTCTTCTTTGCTAGCACCTGATGCCCCTCCTGACCCTACCGTGGACCAGGTTGATGATACTTCCATTGTTGTTCGATGGAGCAGACCCCAGGCACCCATCACCGGTCAGCTATGCCTTGTGATTTAGTTTAGCTGTCTGTTAATTAATCTTTAATGTTAATTGTATAGGTATGGTTTTGATATGGACCACTTTGCATCTCTCAGATTTGTGCATATGTGAGTGAATGTGTGTGTGTGTGTGTGTGTGTGTGTGTGTGTGTGTGTGTGTTTGTATTCTAGCCCTATTTGATTATGGATCATTCCTCCTCTAAATCCATTTTACTTCCTCGGTCACTCTCTACTCTCCTTCTTCACACACATACACACCATAACATATTCAGCCTAAAGGCCAACCCTATGGCTTATTGAAATGCTTGCTGAAGCAAACATTCCAGGTGTTGCAGAGATAATATTCCTGGAAACGTCAGTGCAGGAGCTGAGTTCTTTCTTCAGTTTCATCACCATTAACTTTCTCAAAAGACACAGACTGTGCTAGATGGCTGTGTATTCAGGCTGGCTCATTGTTTACATCATCTAGACCTTGAAGAAAGGAAATTAGCTTAACATGAATGACTTCTCTAATTGACATGAAGGATTTTGAGTCTTTAAGGATGGCATTTATTATTAAAAGGTTTGCATGACGTTCTTATTTTATCTTGTTCTGAGTCATCATAACCATAAGAAGTGATAATTGAAAAAGTCGAGCAAAAGAGACTGTTGCTTAAATTCTTAACACTCAAATGAGTTTGATCTAAGGGCTAGGTTGGGGAGGACATAGCATTTGTGGAGTTCACAATACAAGTATCTTCCTTTTGCTATGAACCACAGGATACAGAATCGTCTACTCACCATCACTAGAAGGCAGTAGCACAGAACTGAACCTTCCCGAGACTGCCAATTCCGTGACCCTCAGTGATCTGCAGCCTGGTGTGCAGTATAACATCACCATCTATGCTGTGGAAGAAAATCAAGAAAGCACACCTGTTTTCATCCAACAAGAAACTACTGGTGTCCCACGTACAGGTAACTTAAAAAAAAAAAAGCCACTTCCATTGATGTCTTATCTCTTGGGCGTACCCTTTTTAATCTCTTTCCTTGGAGAATAAAGTCTCTTAGACTAGTTCACTCTGTGAGGACCAGAAGTATGAGAAGAAAAGAAGCTGTCTTAGGCAGGACTGTTTGGTCTCTTGTCTTGGTTCCTGTATCCAAGGAATTCTATATATTTAGTTTTTCTCTAACTTTGGGATAGTGGCTGAGATGTTCCCATTATAAATAAATAAAAGTAAATTATTTAAGACATTGGCCCTTCTGATTAGAAACTGATGTCATCAACTCTTCTTCCCCACAGATGTTTGTTTATTCATTTTATCTTTTGCTGTTAAGTACTATAAAATGATCGGTAAAACAAAATTACCAGTTTTCTGTAGTTCTATTAAAGTTAAGGGGTTTTTTTAGTGTTTAATAATTTCTCACTATGAACAGACACTTCTGCAGAAAACTCATGCTTACTTATGAATTTTAGATAAAAGCTTCAAATAGCATTAGATAAACAATATAACTGAATGGGCAGAATTTATGCAGAAAAGTAGGCTTACTGATTCAGGGGTAAAATTTAGGATTGCTCTGGAGTGAGTGGATCTACTGAGCTGGCCTCAAACATCCAGGGAAATGGTTTTGTTTTTTAAACAGTCTTTATTAGGAATTGCGAATGACCAGTTGTCTCTTGCCTGTTAGATAAAGTGTCCCCTCCCAGGGACCTGCAGTTTGTGGAGGTGACAGATGTGAAGGTCACCATCATGTGGACGCCTCCTGAGAGTGCGGTAACTGGCTACCGTGTGGATGTGCTCCCTGTCAACTTGCCTGGGGAGCATGGGCAAAGGCTGCCTGTCAGCAGGAACACGTTCGCAGAAATCTCCGGGCTGACCCCCGGCGTCACTTACTACTTCAAAGTCTTCGCTGTGAACCAAGGGAGAGAGAGCAAGCCTCTGATCGCACAACAGACCACCAGTATGTCTGGTTCCTGCCTGTCTGTCCTTTTGCCCTGATCCCTTCCCCTCCCATCTTCTGCACTGGTATATCTAATCTGTGATGGAAAGCCGACGAGAGAATGTGTAGTGGAGATAGAACACATCAAACTTGGAAATAAACCGAGACAAGCTTTGTGGAGGCTTATTGGATAATCCATTTTCCACGCTCATGTTCCGTAGCAATGGTCCTAAGAAAGACAGAATTTGAGAAAAACCTAATTGTTCTTTTGCTGTTGCATCCATGGAAAAGTAATTTAATTGTACTTTTTTTTTGTAAATGTATATCCAGACAGAATTAAAATGTAAGCTTTTCACAGTTTTATAGTGGAATTTAAAAATAGTCAATACCTGGGCTGGAGGTATTAGCTCAGCGGGTAGAATCCTTGCCTAGCATTTATGGGGCCGAGGGTTCAATTCCTAGGACCACAAAAAAACAATTGCTAGCATTTAATATTGTTGGTGAACAGGTCACCAGCTTAGTTCCTTACGAGCATTATTTAGCTTCATATTCAATCTTCATTATAATCTCATAAAGGAAAATCTTTTTACCCTATTAGATCCATTTTAAAAAATGGATGGCATTTAAGGTCTAGCAGCTTGCAAAATCCCAGAGCTAGGAAGTGACAAGAGCTGGCTCTAAAGCCTCCCTTTGACTCCACAGCTCTCGGTCATTATACCCGACAGCTTTTTGAAGATTTCTCTACTCAGAAGATGTTTCCAATTCTCATGGAGCCAGATGCTAATGGCTTAGACCTGTAATCCTAGCTACTCAAGAGGCTAAAATTTGAGGATTAAAATTTGAGGATTTAAGTTCAAGGGCAGCCCAGGCAAAAAAAAGTCTGTGAGATTTTCATCTCCAATTAACCACTGAAAAAGCCAAGAAGTAGAGCTGTGGCTCAGCTTGTAGAACACCAGCCTTGAGCACAAAAGCTTAGGGACAGCACCCAAACCCTGAGTTCAAGTCCCAGGACTGGACCTCACACACATACATACACACACACACACACAAAAATTCTTAGGGGGAAACTTATAGTTAGAAGAAAACCTACAACTTATGTAATTCTTTCTGATAGCACAAAGCCACTAGTATTCTACCGTGAATCTGAGATTCTGGTTGTATGTTGTAAATTATTGTCATTACGAACCAGGTGAAAATAACTGATTTTTCCAGCAAGGGGCTAGTCATTCAATAAATGTACAGAATATTGCTTCTGATCCAGCTGGATCTTTCTTTTTGTTCCTGTTCTATTAAGCTTATCATCCATCCCTTAGCCTTTCTGGCTCAGAGCATAGTAAATTGTGGGTTGCATAAGTGTTTATTTTGCTTTAAAAAAAAAAACTCAAAAGGCAAAACTATGAACATTATAATGTAACTATAATTTCTCCGAAAGTGATGGGACCATCTTGCTGGAAAATGAGACTTTTCAAAGGATGACAGTCCAGTGTAAAAGGTCAACCCTTTCTCATACTTGATACAGTTTGGGCAAAATTCTACCAATTAGGCTCTTACATGCTCAGTTTTTCCAGGGTTTTGACTTTTGCTTTAGTTCTAACTTTGGGAGGAGAAAAAACTTAGGAATATTTAATCAAGCTTTAGGATTTCAATATGATATATAATCTAACTATGTCTTGACATGTTCGATATATATTTTTTCCCTAGAACTGGTTGCTCCCACGAATCTCCAGTTTACCAATGAAACAGATACGACTGTGATGGTGACCTGGACTCCACCTCGGGCCCGGATCGCAGGCTACCGACTGACCGTGGGCCTGACCCGAGGAGGCCAGCCTAAGCAGTACAACGTGGGGCCCTCGGCTTCCAAGTACCCGCTGCGGAATCTGCAGCCTGGCTCTGAATACACCGTCAGCCTAGTAGCTGTGAAAAGCAACCAACAAAGCCCCAAAGCCACTGGTGTCTTTACCACTCGTAAGTTGAAATTCAGTTGTCTTTTCTTATGATTCTCATAGGTTCTTCACTATATATTCTCTATTCTTCTTCTCTGGTTAAAGAGTTAACTTGAAATTTTTAGTACATCATCGTTTAAAGGAATACAGATGGAGGTATCCTCCATGGATTGGCTCCTGCTCTGTGAACGGTGTATTCCTGGCCTGCCACGGACGAGGAGCTCTTGCTTGAATGTGTATAACAAAGAATGCTCTTAGGTTTGGCTGATCATTTGTTTTAAAGCAAGATTTTCTTGATGAAGGAAGCAGTGTGTTGATCTGCATAAATTGACAACCTTTTTCTAGTTTCTTGAGTAAAAACTGTGAGCAAACAGGGTGTTCAGCGTGATGCTACTAGAAAACTTGAATTCTGTTGTATAAAATGAATTTACCAAATTTTACTTAAGATATATAGATCTATCTATATATAGAAGATAATTATAACTATATAGATACATTTTATATCTATAAGTATATACCCATACATGTATATATACATATATATGTTGTATCTATGTATCCATTCTCTCATAGGATGCCCATAATAGTTTTTAATCAACAAAAGAAGCCAAGAAATGACTTTTTTTCTTTTTTCAATGTACTGAAGTCTGAACTCAGGGCCTGGGTGCTGTCCTCTAGATTTTTCTCTCGAGTTTTACACTCTACCGCTTGAGCTACATTTTCTTTTTTGGCTTTTTGATGGTTAGTTGGAGATAAGAGTTTTACAGACTTTCCTGCTAGGATTGGCTTCAAACTGTGGTCCTTAGATCTCAGCCTCCTCATGTGTGTATTTTTGCTCAACACTTTAAAGGAAATTGATCTCAAATATCCTACATACCTACATCACAAACCGACCTCAATCTATCATCTACATTCCATTTATTATCTGAAGAGTAATGGGACTCCTGAGGTATATCTGAACGTTGTTATTTTCACCTTCTTTTTAACTTACAAGGCACCTAATGTAAGTGCTTGTTTCTCAGCAATTATTGAAACTATACTAGTTTGATATTTCTAAGCACCTCCAGTCTTTCTTTTTGACTAAGAAATAAAGTATTAATGTTCAAAAGCATTTATAATTTTTATATATATATTTGGGTACCAGTGGCTCACACCTGTAATCCTAACTACTCAGGACGGTGAAGCTGGCCCTGGCAGGAAAGTCTCTGAGACTCTCAATCTCCAATTAACTACCAAAAATGCTGGAAGCAGAGCTGTGGCTCAAGTGGTAGAGCCCTAGCCATGAGTTCAAAGCTCAGGGATAGGGACAGGGCTCAGGTCCTGAATTTAAGCTCCAAGACTAGCACCAAAAACAGACCAAAAAAAATCAAAACAAGTTTAAATAACTGGAAATTATTTCCTATACAAAATTATCTATGTAAGCTTCTCCCTGTAAGAATCCATAATTTCTTTGTTCCTCAACCTAAGTCTTATTTCATGTATTTTTTTGGTAAGTTGAACGCCTATATAAGAAAAAGCATTTTAATGAAAGGAGTGGGGTCAGTATAGAATATTTTAAGCACTATCAAATATACCTATTGAATATGTTCCTTAATGTTCATGAAATATGATATTTGAATTACAGTATGATAGGAAGAATTGTTAAGTAAATGTCAATTAACATTGTATATTATACATAGTGTGTTTTCAAGAAAAACATTTTCTGGGGGGGATGATCGATTGAGGAACAAATGATAATAATGCAAACAGCTTAACCAAGCTTAGGTGTAAATAAACTCACATTACCAAGGACTTCTGCAATTTTATCTGAACCTCAAGTACTCCCTACAGCTTTTAGCATCAACAAAGCTTGCATGTTTTTAGAATTACTGTGAGTTTTCTATAACTCTTTTTGCTTTTTACTACCTTACTAAACTGAATTCTGGGAATAATTTTTCTGACTTTTTATAACTTGTGCTAAATCCTTAAGAGCAAGAGAGGGAAGACTAAGCTATTTCTGGGGGAAATTCAGCTTCCTTTATTGATAGGGCATATTTTATTCCTTTAACAACCAAGCTGTTCTTCACTTAAAAAGACTTGCCAGAACCCATAACTCATCCTTACAGTCACATCCTTGTAGGCTTGTGGTTTGATGATTTTTTGGTCATAGACTTCCCAGGCTGAGTATCAACTTAAACATGGGGCAATTTTAGCTGGCTGGCCCAAGCAATAAAAAAAATACCCAGTCTTAAAGCCCAGGTTTGGTGCGGGGAATGCAATTTGTGAAAATGCTGTGGCTTTTACAGATGTTCAGTGAAAGAAATTGACTGAATTGTTTCTGTGGGCCATTAAAAATGGTCACCCAGGGCTAGTCCAGGCATTTTGGCAAAGTCAGCAGCCGCCAAGAGGTATACGATTTCATGGGGATGTTCCATGGGTCATCCACCCTCATTTCCCCCAAATGACATCAAAATAGCACCCTTACCATACAGCTGGCTAAACCAGTAGTACTTCAGTTTAGCCATTAGCAATCTCTGCCAAGTAGCCCACACATATATTTGACGTGTTCCCACACCATCTTTTAAAAATGAGAATGAGACATTAAAACCCACAGCCCCCATAAAAGGAAGAATTGCAATGCATCTAAATTCCCATAAAGCACAGAAAAATATAATTCACTGGAACTGAGGCCAGAGTCCGAAGACTTTTTTGTTTGTATAACTCTGGAGGATAACTCTACTCTGTCTTGCGAGGCAGCCATAATTTAGTGTAAGGATATTCAGTTGGATTTTGCTAGTGGGAACAGAAAGAAGAGGTTTTCTACCAGGAAGTAAAGAGAAATAGAATTTTGTTGTTGTTATTGTTGTTGTTCGTGGGGCTTGAACTCTGGGCCTGGGCGCTGTCCCTCAACTCTTTAGCTCAAGGCTAGCATTCTACCACTTGAGCCACAGTGCCACTTCTGCTTTTCTGGTGGTTTATTGGAGATAAGAGTCTCCCAGTCTTTCCTGCCCAGGCTGGCTTTGAACCATGATCCTTAGATCTCAGCCTCCTGAGTAGCTAGGATTACAAGAGTAAGCCACTGGCACCCGGTGAGAAAGGGATTTTAAATCAGGGCTCTTAAGGCACTTGAAACCCTGGAGCTTGATTTGCCTATCTTAGTTATCTTGGCTTCTGAGGCTTTACCTTTCTAAACTTAAAAAGATATATAGGGCTGTTGGAAATGTTCATCTTAACTCTGTACACATTCTTTTTTCCCTTAGCTTTCTTTTCTCTTCCTTTTTTCTTTTTAGTAGTAATTTCATAATATAATAATAATAATAATAGAAAAGAGGCTGGGAGCTGGTGTCTCATACCTATAATCTTAGCTACTCAGGAGTCAGAGAATATGGCTTAAGCCAGCCCAAGCAGCAAAGTTCCCAAAAAATTGCCCCCCTCCCAAAAAAAAGTAGGGAGTGGTAGAGTGCTAGCCTTGAGCAAAAAGCTCAAGGACAACATTCAGGCCCTGGGTTCAAGCCCTGGGACTGGCACAATAAATATGTTAAGTAAATAAATACAGATAATAGGAAAAATTTTGGATTGAAATCTTCAGTGCTAGTTGTAAAATAATAAATCTCTGCAGTCTTATTCTGAATGAGCAATCTCACGGTGGAGGAATGAATCTTTAGAATATGAAGAATACCCACAGTTTCAGATTTACTCTTATGGCAACCACACATATGTGCCCATAATTATGGAATAATGCAACATAAAACTGATTTAGATTAATCTCTAATCTTGCCATTGCTCTTAATGAGACTAACAGTCAAAGTGACCATCAGTTTGTGGTGTCCAGTTGTACAATTGATAAAGAATTTGAAGCTAATGACATAAGAAAATTAATTGTCCTTAAACATAATTCCCACCAATGAAGAAAAGATGCAGCTTATGGGATGGAAGGAGTTGGAAATTCCTGCCTTTGAGATGATCAAACACATCATTTTATTCAAGGGCCATTCACAGATCAGAGTTGGCATTATCTATCATTTTGTCAGAAATACAAACTCCTTAGCACTGCATTGGACCTGCATAATTAGTATTTGCCCTTTCACTGGGTCTCAGATGATTTGTGTAGTACATTCGTGTCTGAACAATACTATTCTCCCACTGCTCAGTCAGTGAAGGAACCAATGCTACATTTGTAGTCAGTGATTGAACCTATGGTCCATTCTCCATTTGCCTATTGGTTAAATTAAGGTTCTCGGTGCATAAATACACACACACACACACACACACACACACACACACACATATAATATATTTTTAAAAGCTTATTTGTACCTTCTCTGAAACTGTCTATGATTCCAAGATCTGAACACATGGATTTGTTCATTTTGCAGTGCAGCCTGTGTCTTCCATTCCGCCTTACAACACAGAGGTGACTGAGACCACCATTGTCATCACATGGACGCCTGCTCCAAGAATTGGTTTTAAGGTAATTGTAGCTGTTCCCAGTCTATTGTGATGCATCCATCCCTAAGGTGCTCTATTGTTTCTGCATGTAGTTGGAATAGGATGTTCAGGAGGCCTGGGTTTTGCTGTTACCATTCATACCTCTAGGACCCTGTTACCAACCATAGCAATACTTCTGCCTTTCCCACTTCACTGAATTGCTGTAAGGATGCTCTGAAGTTTTTTTCTTTTGCAAAGAAGAAAACATTAGCCTGGAAATATTTGTCATTGTTGTTTTGTTTCTTCTATTTTCCCCAGGGAACTGTACTTTTAGATCGTTATCAGGCAACTCCAATTGCTGTTGCTCTAAAAGGTTGTCAAGAAATTTATGAAAATCAATTTAAGGAGACACTTATTCAGGGATGCTTTAAAAAAATCGCATTTTTATCCAAACACTTTCAGCTTATTTAAAGCCCTATGGGTGAATCTCTTAATAAAAGTTAAAATTGAGGTTTTCCTTTACAGATAACTGGAGTCATGTTCTTTAGAGGAATGGTATTAGCAAAGTGTTGAGCACAGATGAATATGTTTTATTAGAGTTAGGAGACAGAAATATTATGACTGGAAATCAAAACTAAAGCCCTGTTTCATTAAAATAAGTAAATAAATAAATAAAAGACTAAAAGGTCACTTCTTTTAGGATGTAAATGGCCACATTGATGACTATGCTACTTAAATACAGAGAACCCTTTTTGAAGATTGACAATATATTTTTCAAATTTCTCTCTTAATAGTGGCATTTGGATTTTCAGAAGACAGCATATGAAGGATCTCTCTAAAGTTGACACCATTTAATAACACAGTGTTACCTAGGCTTTTGAAATAGAATCTTAAAAGGATTTAAAACTGTGAGCACATTCATTTTAGTTCTCTTGTAAGATACAGTTCTGCAGTTGAAGATTTGAACATAGTTCTTCAAGAGGAGTGACTTTTTTTTCTAGTACAAATTGCCACAGAAATTGATTCATTTAAGTGATAAGTAAAATAGTGAATTGAATTTGAATATCATTAAAGAGAGCAGGTAGAAATTTCTATCATAGAATACATAAATGAATATGTAATGACATTTCTCTGGAAACTTCCATTATAAGGTGCCTTAATGTCCTTTGGGAAACACTTCTCTTACCAACACGGGACCCCCAGCTAAATCATAATATAGAGCTGAAGCACGTCCCCGACTCATCTCCTGACAAAGGTGCATTCTGCTTTTCTAAGGAGATTGCATTATATAATCTAACCACAACTTCTCAGAGACACAACTCTGGAAATATTTGTCCTTTGTGTTGATTGTAATTACCTTTGTCCTTTCTAGCTGGGTGTACGCCCAAGCCAAGGAGGGGAAGCACCTCGAGAGGTAACTTCAGAAACAGGAAGCGTCATGGTATCTGGGTTGACTCCAGGTGTGGAATACACTTATACCGTCCAAGTCCTGAGAGACGGGCAGGAACGGAACATCCCGCCAATTGTGAACACAGTAGTGACACGTAAGAAGAGTTCTTGTGCTTTTTTTTTTTAAATTTCCTTTCATTTTAGTTTTTAAAACATTTGCTTTTGGAAACTAGCTAACATCAATACCACTGCTCACTCCTGAGGATGGTACCAGAGGAAAAGAGTCATTTCCAACTTCAGAGTAGCAGTTTCAACTCATGTTATGAGTTCCATGACCCTAAGAATACACTTTCCAGGTCAAGAATCTTTTTGAATTGGCAGTATGGATGGAATTTCAGTAGTATCTCAAAATCATTAATCCTGAAAAACTTTCTGTGCAAAGAGGACTACTGTCTACTATGTTTTTATGGTATATTCTTGGAATTTTCACTGGAGAAAGGAGGAAGGGAAGAAAGAGGGAGGGAAGGAAAGGAAAAGAAAAGAAAACATTGTAGAGGCTCAGGATTTTATGTTAGGTTTAACTTGTATTTTAAATTTTTCTTTCTGCTTAGCATTGTCTCCTCCAACAAACTTGCACTTGGAGACACACCCGGACACTGGCGTGCTTGTAGTCTCCTGGGAGAGAAGCACTACACCAGGTAAGCTAGAGATAGCTCCAAGAGCCAACTCAATGCAAGCACAACTCCCATGAAAACGATTCCTGACACAATATTCATTTCAAAGAAGGATAAGAAACAAAGCAAGGGTCAAAGTAACATAAGAGTACATGAGTATGCAGTACTTTATGCAGGGATATATATGTTCTATTGTTTTGGTTTATGTTTTTGTTGTATCTGCTGTACTGGTGTTTGACATTGAGTCTTATGCTGGCTAGACAAGCATTCTCCCACTTGGGCTATGTTCCTTTTACTTTTAGTGGTTTTTGTTCTTGGTTGTTTGTTTTTTGTTGTTTGTTTTTTGAGACAGACACATGATTTTGTTCAGCCTCAGACCACAATCTCATAATCTTCACCTCCAGAATAGTTGGAAGAGTAAACCATCATACCCAGCCCCACCAAACATGTTTTTTCAATACATGTTTACTTAAGTCATAAGAATGACAGCAATCACCTGCTAGACTGTGGGGAAAAGTACAGGTCTTAAGACAGCTTTCTGAGAGCTAGGTAAAAGAATTTGGAAAGATGTTTTAATTTTCTGTGCATTAAAAATTGCCAAACAAGGGGCTGGGAAGATGGCTCAATGGTAGAGCGCTTGCCTTGCATGCCTGAGGCCCTGGGTTTGATTCCTCAGCACCATATAAGCAAAAAAAGAAAAAAGCCGGAAGTGGCGCTGTGGCTCAAGTGGTAGAGCGCTAGCCTTGAGCTGAAGAGCTGAGGGACAGCACCCAGGCCCCGAGTTCAGGCCCCATGACCGGACCAAAAAAAAAAAAAATTGCCAAACAAAAGGCTGAAACCACCTACGATGTAATTTCCTTTTTGTGAGTAATCATGAATTCTAGCTTTATTCAATGAAGGGTTACTATTACAAGCTTCTCTTTGATTCCAAGACCCCCACTGGATACCATAGGCTGCAAATGCCCAAATCCTTTAAATAAAGTGGTCTTGAATAAGCTTATACATCTCCCATAAACCATCCATCACGTCTACATTACTTATAGTGCCTATCACAATGTAAATAGTTGTTGTTTTGGATTATTTAGGGGAATAATGACCAAAAAAAGCCTGTATGTGTTCAGTAAAGAGTTTTTGTTTCTGCTTTTTAAAAAGTATTTTTTAATCTGTGTTGATTGAGACCACAGATTTGTAACCCATGAACACAGAGAGTCAATGTATTTTGTTTTGAGTTGCATTATAAAAATATAAGGATGAGAGGCTGGGAAGGTGGCTCAGCAATAGAGTGCTTACTTCCCATGCATGAGGCCCTGGGTTCCATTACTCAGCATCACATAAAGAGAAAAGGCCGGAAGTGGCACTGTGGCTGAAGTGGTAGAGTGCTAGCCTTGAGCTGAAGAGCTCAGAGACAGCACCCAGGCCTAGAGTTCTAGCCCCACAACTGACTGAAAAAAAAATTCTAAGGATGATAAAAGTGCTGCAGAAGTTGGAATTTTAATTTGTTGTTGTTGTTGTTACTCCTGGGGCTTGATAATCAGGGCCTGAGCACAGTCCCTGAGCTTTTGTGCTCAAGGCTAGTTCTCTATCACCTTGAGTGGCAGTGCCCCTTCTGGTTTTCTGGTGGTTAATTGGAGACAACAATCTTACAGACTTTTCTTAGATCTCAGCCTCCTGTAGTAGCTATGATTTACAGGTACGAGCCACAGGCTCCTGGCTGAACTATAACTGTTTAGGCTACTTCTTATACCCAATATCACACATTTGGGATTTTATTTATTTTATTTATTTCTGTTGTGCCAGTAGTGGGTCTTGAACTCAGGGTCTCACACTCTCAGTTGGCTTTTTTGCTCAAGGCTGGCACACTACCACTTGAGCCACGCCTTTACATCTGGTTTTTTTTGGAGATCACAGAGGCTCACGGACTTTTCTGCCTGGGATGGCTTTAAACTGTGTTCCTCAGAACTCAGCTTCCTGAGTAACTAGGAATGTAGGCATGAGCTACCAGCACCATGCTGGAACTTCATTTTTATTATTTTTGTGTTTTTCCTTGAATACTCAGTCTTGAATATTCAAGACTGAGAAAGTTAGCGAAGGAGTTTCAGGACCATTTTTAAAAGTTCAAAAGTGAACCTGCTATTTATACATATTTAAAACATATAAATCCTAAAATACATAAAAGATATAGCAATGTTCAAGTAGCATGACATTCCAGAGTAATAACCATAACAAAACATTACATCACAAAACATAAAATCTGTTTAATCCAAAGCGCAAACTGTTTTTTTTGTTGTTTTTTTTTTTGCCAGTCCTGGGTCTTGAACTCAGGACCTGGGCACTGTCCCTGAGCTTCTTTTGCTCAAGGTTAGCACTCTACCACTTGAGCCACAGCATACTTCCAGTGTTTTATGTTTAGGTGGTCCTGAAGAATTGAACCTGGGGCTTCATGCATGCTAGGCAAGCACTCTACCACTAAGCTACATTCCCAGCCCAAACTCTTTAAATAAACTATGTTATTTAACATAATAGTATTATTTAATTTTGAGTCTATTACAGAAAGAGCTGTAGAGATTTCTTAATATTTCTTATTGAGAACATTCTAAATTAAACCAAGCAGTAGTTTCAAATAGTGTTGATTACATCCTTATGTGCTATACCTAATTGGACAGACATATTGCTTAACTATGTCTAACTTTACTGTTATTTTGTTGAAATAATTTCTCAGCCTTTGTTTGATCTTCAGCTACAGCAATTATCTTTAAATCATGAATTACACAATTACACAAAGTAAAAGCTCAAAATATCAGTTTTAACTTTCCTCTGAAGTAGATGTTCACAGTATATTTTCACATCTACTATGGAACTAAAAATTTTCCAGTCTTCACAGTGTTTTCATTTTTTCCCTGTAGAAGGATAAAATGTACAGACTGAGACATCTTCAGTAATCACTTCTTCCTCTCCTTTTTTGTCTTTTTTAAGTGTTTTTGCTTCTTTGTGCTGGTCCTGGGGCTTGAACTCAGGGCCTGGACACTGTCTCTGAACTTTTGTGCTCAAAGCTAGTGCTCTACTACTTAGACAAAGCTCCACTTCCAGCCTTTTGCTAGTTAATAGGAGATCAAAGTCTTAAGGACTTTCTTGCCCAGGCTGGTTTGAAATGTGATCCTCCGATCTCAGCCTCATGAGAAGCTAGGATTACAGGCTTGATCCACTAGTCGGTGCCTGGCTTGTCTTTCTTTTTGGAAAATAGCACTGGCATTATTAATGTATTACTACTGTTATAATTGACATATAATACATTTGTATGTATTTATGTGCATCTGTATGTGTGTAAGATCATCAAATGGGCATTAAACATAAGACCAGGTTACATTTCCATCTTCTCAATGATTTATCATGTTCGAAATATGTAAAAGTACATAGACTACAATCACCCTACTATAATGTATAACACTGGACTTTATTCCTCCCACTTACTTGTATTGAGGGACCGTCATCTAACATTTTCTATTTGTCACCTTCTTTCTCCTTCCCAGTCTGTAGTGTCCACTACTTTCTTCTGTGAGATCAACTGTTTCATGAATGAGTGACAACATACAGTATTTATCTTTCTATAACAGGCTTATTTGTCTAAACAAGTTGTCTTAAGATTTTCTGGACTCTCAAGATCTGAGCCTCAAGAGATTTGTGTGAGAATTGAGTGACAGAACATTCTCCGTAAATGTTCTTTTTCCTATTCCCCTGTGGTCCACCATCTTGAGTCGAGTTCAGTGTACCCTGAATCATAAATGCTCTGTTTAGTAACTCCTCCCTCTGCTTTCTGCAGATATTACTGGCTATAGAATCACCACAACTCCAACAGATGGGCAGCAGGGAACTTCTTTGGAAGAAGTGGTTCATGCCGATCAGAGTTCCTGCACTTTTGAAAACCTGAATCCTGGCTTGGAATACAATGTCAGTGTTTATACTGTCAAAGATGACAAGGAAAGTGTTCCTATCTCTGATACCATCATCCCAGGTAATAGAAAAATAAGCTGTTATCCTCCAAGTGGCAGTTTCAATAGGAGTAGGGATTAGCATCTTAATCCCCAGGCGGTTAAATGGGTCAAAGATATTTGGGATTTAATTCCAACCTACCAACTATACTCTGTGAAACCACAAAGTCAAAGCAACTGTTTGGACAAAGGCTTGCTGTTAACACTGCTTTCCTGTCTGCTTCACTGGGATGCTTTTTGTTGCCATGGGTACATGATGAAGTGGCAGTCACAGCATTAACTCTGTACTGTTTGCTCTCGTGGAAATATTACTAAACAATGTCATGTGTCTGTACTCAGTGCTGACAGGCTGAAAGTAATGTGGTAAATGCATCCCAATGGTACATTTGTGCCTGACTTTTACACTCCCTATCAATTTCAATGGTGATATGTAAAATAGTTTGTGTTTCCATATATAGGCATTGAAATAGCACTTGGTCGACAGTATCCAATTCTTTATCTTGCAGCTTCAAATTTATTTTCATCTTAAAATCAGAGGGGAAAACCAAAGACAGAAAGAAAGAAGTAAAGTCCTTGCCTTTGGGGCATTCTTTCTTAAGAACTGAGAGGCAATATTGAAGAGGCCCATATAAGGACAGATTTCTCGTTTGTCCAGTCTAAATGCACTGGACATGTTGTGTTTTCCCATTTATATCACTTGGTTTGTGTCTACTATGCTAATTAAATAACATTTTGAGTTTAAAATGTTAGCAAGGGCCTTTAACTCAGGACTCTCTGGCCCTGGCCTGTATGTGCTTTTTTTTTTTTTTTGTGGGTCATGGAGCCTGGGCCTGGGCCTGGGCACTGTCCCTCAGCTCTTCAGCTCTAGATGAGCGCTCTACCTCTTGAGTTACAGCACCACTTCTGGTTTTCTGGATAAGAGTCTCATGGACTTTCTTGCCCAGGCTGGCTTTGAATTACAATCTTCAGCTCTCAGCCTCCTGAGTAGCTAGGATTACAGGTGTGAGCCACCAGCACCTGGTTTGTATGTGCTTTTGAATGGCACATTTTACTCTATACATTCATAATGCATTAGCATGATGGCCATAATATTTTGAGTTTTGTATGGTGGACAAACAATTCTTTAGCCATTTTTTAAAAAAAACCTTCCTCATGCAAGCTTTTATTTTCCTATTAAAACAGTTGGGTATATATATGTACATATATATATATATATATATATTTTTTTTTAAACAAACTGATACTTACTTTAGATTATATGTTAGGTTCTTGGAATGTTTTTAATATCTGAAACAGGCCTATGATTTTTTGGAACTTGGAACATTTCAAAACTTGGAATATTTCAAAATGCAAGCAAACTGCTAAAAGAATATTGTAATTTGTTTTATTCTCCCAGGGAAGCAAATGATTCATGATTCTTAGGAAGTCTTTTCAGATAATTTGAAACAAATTGCATATTACCATCATTGCTTTACCATTCCTTCAATTTTACCACTGATGACCTGATGAACACTGCTTTATTTTTTTCCTCTTTTTTTTTTTTTGCTTCTATTTTCCTTCTGCCCTTTTCTTTGCTTTGTAACTTAATAGAGGTACCCCAACTCACTGACCTAAGCTTTGTTGATATAACCGATTCAAGCATCGGCCTGAGGTGGACCCCGCTAAACTCTTCCACCATTATTGGGTACCGCATCACAGTAGTTGCGGCAGGAGAAGGTATCCCTATTTTTGAAGATTTTGTGGACTCCTCAGTAGGATACTACACAGTTACAGGGCTGGAGCCGGGCATTGACTATGACATCAGCGTTATCACTCTCATTAATGGCGGAGAGAGTGCCCCTACTACACTGACACAGCAAACGGGTGAATTTTGAAAACTTCTGTTTGAGACACGGATAGTGTTGCATGCTGTCACCAGTCACTGTGGTTAAATCTGGAAGTTTCCAGGGAGAAGCCAGTGTTGGACCATATAGATTAAGATGGGATGGGTTGGGAGATAAGAAGACTAGTACATGCACTGATCTACTTGGATGAAGACCTATGTAAGTCGCTTTCCATACACTTTACCACATACAGAAGTCCCGACACCCTATCTATTAATTTCAAAGTAACATAATAAGTTAATCAAATTTGCAGACCTGGAGGGTTATTTTTTGTTAAAAAATATCAAACATGAATACCACATGGTATGATAAGCACTAGTTAATACTAAGAGATACACTTCCAGAATATATTATGCTCTTTTTTTTCTGTCCTCTGATGAGCTTTATACCATGTTCCTTGTGATTAAGAACACATAAAAATTTAGGGTAGATTGCAAGGAGGTGGCCCCAGGTAGGAAAGAAAAATAAGCTTGGTAGGAGTCTAGATTTTGTTGTTATCACAAGACAAAGAACTCCTCTTTAACCACAGTCTGGGTACCAGCATGCAACATTTTAGAGGTTCTCTGCCCTGCATGGTAAGACACATATTGAGAACCAATATGCATGAACCCTTCCTACTTGTAAGTAGAATTTATTGAATGAGATTGTAGCTATATTGGTAGTTTGTAGACATCTCACACCATGGAGAAAACTTAGAACCTTCCTCTTATTTTTTTGTCTGTGTGCATGTGTTTCCTTGGAAAGTACTGCTGTTTCCTTTCTGCTGTGTGGCAACTTAAGCCTCTTCAGCCTGCGGTAAAATTATCTTCAGTGGTATTACTTATGAACTTCGAATCAACCTATTTGAAATTACTCCGTCAACTACTTTGATGATGGCAGAAAGGTTAAAGGGGCCTAACAGTACTATGTGTCATAACACTATGAATTAGATTTAGAATTAGATTTAGATTAGATGAATTGCATGATTGTGACTGTTTCCTTTGTGCATGAAGTATTGGTCTTACCTTTCCAGCTATTTTTGTTCACTTTTGCTTTAAAGTTGTATTAATATCTTCTTATTTGAATCCAGCGGTCCCTCCTCCCACTGACCTGAGATTCACCAATATCGGCTCAGACACTATGCGTGTCACATGGGCTCCACCTCCATCCATTGAACTGACTAACCTCTTGGTACGCTACTCACCCGTGAAGAATGAAGAAGATGTGGCAGAGCTGTCCATTTCTCCTTTAGACAATGCAGTGGTCTTAACAAGTAAGCAGTCAAATATATTTGGTCACTAAGTCCTAACTTTCAGCATAGTGAATTCTGGAGTTCTTGAATAGAAGCAATTAAGAGGACAAGTTGCCAAAGAGCTGTGAACTAATCTCCAATTTTAATAGGCAACTCTGTACATTCTAAAGGATCTGACGTTTATTGTTTTCTTGATAACACGACTTCTTAAAAAAAAACATCTTGGACAACTTCACATTCTACTTCCAAATCAGCACATATCAAGAGACTTGATATATAGCTGAATCTAAATGTTCAGAGAGGACAAGTGAGAGTTGCAAATATGTGTTATCATATCTATTTTCTTGACTTTTCTCAGTGTCAGCAGGTAATCTATTTAGTATTTGAAAATTTAGGAATTGATTGTCTGGGATACAGCAGGATACTATGAAGTCAGAAGCTTAATTTCTACAGAAAAAAATCTGTTTGCAGTATTTCTCAGAAGACGGTGAGGACTTGGGAAATGACTGACACTAAATAAACAACGATTTGTGCAAGTTGTCTTTTTCTAGTTCCTATCATTTTGGAATGAGGCAGTTTTTCTTTTATTAAAAAAAGAGGAGGTTGCAACATGGTGCTGTTTTACATAAATATTTCTTCTGACTATTTCACATTATAGTAAAATGTGTAAGTACAACAAAAGAGTCCATGTAGGGAAAAATACCTTAAGATAGATTCCCAAAGAGTAGCTTGAAAACATCCCTTCTTTCTCAAGTATATTTTAGAAACTGAAGCACCAAGACAGCTGAGCTAGACAATGGTCTTTCCTTCCCACTCTGTGGCTGAGTGCTAGAGTGCCTTTATATCTACATGATTGAGTCCATAGTGGCTAGTTCTATTTTAGAACACTCTGGAATCAATAGTAACTGTATAATCCTCTGCATCTAGTTGGCTGTAGCCTACCCAACACCTGTCATGTGTCAATCATATGTTCAGAGAACTTGGGTCCTAGTGCTATGACATCATGGTAGCAATCTTCCCCTTACTAAAGTCACTACTATCCCATTTTATAGAAGCATCTGAAGCCTCTCATTCCCTCTTAATCTGGAGCTTGTCCATACATTGCAGGAGCATCTTTAGAAAAGTTGATGGGTAGAGGAATGAGGGTTTTAGTGAGTAGGAGTATAATGGTTGGAAACGATTATTTAAAAAAAAAAGAATGCTCAGGGATGTGTATTAAATTTTTAGAAATTATTCTTCTCTTATTTGAATATGACAGAACTCATTCTTTCCCTTGGGAGGGGGGCTCTTTTGTGTGTGTGTATGTGTGTGTGTGTGTGTGTGTGTATGGAGGTTAATTGTTAAGACCATGGATCTAGACCTGAATCAGCTCCTATATATGGGCAAGTAAATAAAAGAAAATAACTTAAGTATACCTCAGTTTTCTCCTGAGCAATGGAGATAACTGTGATAAACTAAATGTTCAGAAGTAAAGGTCCTGTTGAATATATTGATTGTTCATTATCTTGAATACATTAATGGTTCTTCAAGTTCTTCATGATAAAGGGTATACATGTACACTTCAAATAAGTGCATATATTGTTGATAATAAAGCTGCTATAATGAATAGAAAACTAACTCATCAGGTTGTTGTGAGGAAGAAATGATAATGCATTGTGTCAGAATAAATATCAACATTTGTCCCCAACAGATACACCATCAAGTGGTAAGAGAAATATTAGCGATATGTTCCTATGTAAATCTGGTTGAGTCACATTCAAAGAAGTGGAATTGAGGGCAGGGATACAAGAGATTTTAGGACACAGGGAAGCTTCTGTATTACCCAATTATAGGCCTTTTCCAGGTAGCAATTGGGTGTAATTAGACTAAGTGAGATACCTAAATATCAGATAGCTCACGAGTTCAAATAGTTCAAGGAATGCTTTGTTTTCTCATGCTTTCAAGCACAATTTTAAATTAAGCCTCACTTGTCTTTTCAGATCTCCTGCCTGGAACTGAATATTTAGTCAGTGTCTCCAGTGTCTATGAACAACATGAGAGCGTCCCTCTCAGAGGAAGAGAGAAAACACGTGAGTCATGTGACCACATGCTTATCACATAGCTCTCACTTGCCAGTTTTAATAACAAAATGCGGTATTATTTCTTTCTTTCTTTTTTTTTTTTTTTTGGTTGGTTGTGGGGTCTGAACTCTGGGCCCGGGCTCTGTCCCTCAGCTCTTCAGCTCAAGGCTAGCACTCAACCACTTGAGCCATAGCTCCATTTCTGGCTTTTTCTGCTTATGTGTTGCTGAGGAATCAAGCCCAGGGCCTCATACATGCAAGGCAAGCACTCTTGACCACTGAGCCTCCTTCCCAGCCCCATGAGGTATTATTTCTAAAGTACATCTCCATCTTTTGCAATGGTAGTCTATGCATCATTGTTCTTATTTTCTATCATTGATCTTGAAAATGAAGAGACACCTTATCAATAATTCATAATTACTAATTATTAGTTAGCATTGCAGTCACTTCAGTTTCTATTTCCTACTTCCACATAGAAATGAAATAAGTCCAGAAACTTTGTTGGTTTTTCTTTAAAAATATTGGGCCACTGGTGGTTTGTGCCTATAATCCTAGCTATGTAGGAGGCTGAGATCTGAGGATCCTGGTTCAAAGTCAGCCCAGGCAGGAAGGCCCATGAGACTCTTACCTCTAAGTAACTACCAAAGAAAAAACAGAAATGGAGCTATGGCTCAAGTGGTAGAGTGTTCTCCTTGAGCACAAAAGTTCAGGGACACTGCCTTCACCTTGAGTTCAGCCCCCTAGAATGGACCCCTCCCCCCAAAACAAAACAAACAGCAACAACAAAGCACTTCTCATGATATCTTTATTTCATTAGGCAGTTTGGCATAATAGCTGACCTAAAACACTGTCATTGCCTTCTAAATATATTTCCTCCTTTACTAAGCCAATGAATTTGTGTATATTTTCTCCTTGACAACACATTTTCTTACAAGAAAAGGGTTGAATAGAATCCCTTAAATATTATTTCTCTTCTTAACTATGAGTACTGCTTTCCATTTTTCCCTTAAAAAAAAAAAACATTCAACAGCCAGTCACCAGTGGCTCATGCCTCTGATTATAGCTACTCATGAGGCTGAGATTGTGGTTCAAAGCCAGCCTGGGCAAGTTCTTGAGACTTTTATTTCAAATAACCATTACAGAGCTGTGAGTGGAGCTGTGGCTCAAGTGGTAGAGATCCAACCATGAGTGAAAAACCTCAGGGGCAGATCCTGAGTTCAAGCCAACACAAAGGAAAAAATAAAAACGTGTTCATTGGTTTATTTATGGTCCAGTTGATTCCAAAAAGTAGTTAAGACTTTTCAGTCATATTTGAATATATTACTGAATAGAATTAGCAAATGTTGTATATAATTCAAACAAAAAATACACTGGAAGTCCCAGAGAGGTTATTAAGTAAGTTGAATAGGAGATAAACACTGAATTCTTGGTTTTTTTTTGTTAGTCGTAGGGTTTGAGCTTGGGGCCTAGGTGCTGTCCCTGAGCTCTTATGCTCAATGCTAATGCTCTACCACTTTGAGGCAAAGTGCTAGCACTTTCCTGCCTGGGGTGGCTTTGAACCATGATCCTCAGATCTCAGTCTCTTGAGTAGTTAAGATATTACAGGCATGAACCACTGGTGCCAGCTTCTTCTTCTTTTTTTTTTTTTTTAATGTACTACATTTTCACTCTAATTTGTCCAGGAGATTGTCTTTAGTTGGAAAGTTTTGTGTCTACCATTATTGTCATTCTCTTGACATATGTATCCTTTCTTGAGTATGGAAAGCTTCTTGAACATGAGCACGGGCAAATCTTGCTTTGCTTTGAGTGATAAATTTGTAGGATAAAAATACTCCTTGAATGCTGAAGTACTTGAAAGTAGCAGCTCTTGAAATATTTTTGCATACCTGCTTTCAAGGATGACATGGAAGCTTATCATGACACACAGGTAATTTAGCAAGAAGAAAAGCATTAATGAATGTGTGAGTTGACATATTTTGAGTTTATGATTTTGCAATTCCGACGTGGTCAGTAGTGGATCACTGCATTGCTGCGTATGTTACTTCCTCTTACCTATCTAAGCTGGTGTCTCACTGTTTTTTTCTTTCTTTCTTTCTATCTTCATCCTCCCCTGGCTGGGAAAACAGGTCTTGATTCCCCAACTGGCATTGACTTTTCCGAGATCACTACCAACTCTTTCACGGTGCACTGGATTGCTCCTCGAGCTCCCATCACTGGTTACAAGATTCGCCACCATCCTGAACACTTTAGTGGGAGACCTCGAGAAGATAGAGTGCCCCCCAACCGCAATTCCATCACCCTCAGCAACCTCATTCCAGGCACGGAGTATGTGGTCAGCATTGTTGCTCTTTATGGCCGAGAGGAAAGCCAACCCTTAGTTGGCCAACAACCAACAGGTAACTTCTTTTTTGTCCACAAAGAAATTCAGAAGACTTGCCTAATCTGTTGGTATCTAGGGAATAAATAGCTCCATGTTGTCTGAATTATCAACTCTCAAAAACAGACCACCATTACAGACATAAAATGAGAAGGGATGGAGTGCTTAGCACTGCTCTAAAAGTTAAAAAACAATCTTAGTGTAATAATGACAGTATTCTTGGGAGATAGATGCTGAAGTTCTTTTTTTGAGATGCTGAAGTTCTTTGGGGGAGAAGTAGCATTATGATAACCTATACCATAAATGGTTGAGAGAGAGCGAGCGAGCAAGACAGATGGGTGGGAGAAAGGGAGTGTATATGTGGCAAATGTTTCCAAATAGCACAAACCTTAGTTTTATGTCTATGTGTGTGTGGATATGTGTGTGTGTACATGTGCATGTGCACAAGTGCCAGCCCTGGGGCTTGAACTCAGGACCTAGGCACTGTCCTTGAGCTTCTATGCTCAAAGCTAGTGCTCTACCACTTGAGCCACAGCTCTACTCTGGGTTTTTTGTGGCTAATTGGAGATAAAGAGTCTCATAGACTTTTCTGTCTGTGCTGGCTTCAAAATGCCATCCTCAGATCTCAGGCTCCTAAAGTAGCTAAGATTATAGGGATAAGCTGTGGGTGCCTGGCCAGTTTCTATTGTTTTGTAAACTAATATTTCAAAATAAAAAATGTTAATGGAAAAAAATGCTTTGGTAAGTACTGAAATACTGAATATTCAACATTGTTTTTCTAATCACAATTTAAATGCTTTCCTTACTCTCTCACATTAAATGATTCCTGCTTTTATAATTTGCCTATTTAATGTAGCATTTTTATCTTTGTGTGAAGGATATATATAAAAGACAATTGTCTAGAAAGTAAGAAAAAGAGACTCTGGGCATTGTTTGAAAATGATCAAACTTTCCTGTACTTTTTGTAGTTTCTGATACCCCAAGGGACTTGGAAGTCATTGCTTCAACTCCTACTAGCCTCCTGATCAGCTGGGAGCCTCCAGCAGTCACCGTGAGGTACTACAGGATCACCTATGGAGAAACAGGTGTGTTAGCTATGAGAGTCTACTTCACATTGACCACATCTGAATGTGTTGTGGGCAGTCCTGGAAACCCATTGGTGGAGATGGAATTGAAGAGCTATGGCTCAGCCTATTCATTGGACATTGCCATATCCCAAGACTATATATATATATATATATATATATATATATATATATAAACATATATATGTGTGTGTTTTAACTGGTTGTAAAATCTAGATTAAGAAGTTGTTTATAGAATACAACTAGAGGGGGATGAACAGAGATAAAGGAAGAAAGGTCATAAATTGACAAATATATGATGACTAATGATGTATAATTTTGCTTTCTTCTTGCTTTTCTACTTTTTTGTGTGTGTGTGCTGCTTCTAGCAGGGCTTGAACTCAGGGCCTAGGCACTGTCCTTAAGCTTTTTTGCTTAGGACTTAGTGCTCTACCACTTGAGCTACAGATCCAGTTTTGGCTTTTTGATGGTTAATTAGAGATAAGAGTCTCTTTCTTGCCCAGGCTGGCTTTGAACTACACTGCTTCGATCTCAGCCTTCTAAGTAACTAGGATTACAGGCCTGAGCCACCAGTGCCTGGATGTAGTCTCTAATTTTTAACATAAACATGTTCTGTTGAAAAGTTTGAAAAGAATACAATATTTGTAATCCTAGGTTGCATAAAAAGCTCACCTTCATCTCCCTTTTAACATCAATTTACAATTTGTTCATGTTCACAAGGTAGCATTTCATGTTATATCATGCTTGTTAACTTCAATTTCCTACTCCATGCAGAAATACTCCTTCCTGTCCAATCTTTGTTAACAGCACAGTAGAAGGGAATAAGTAGTAAGATGTGATTTGTATGCTGCTTTCAATTGGTTAACTCATAAGTAATACCCAAGTAACCTGGAGCCCCTCCCATTCTCCATGGTCCATTTTTGTACAGGAGGAAATAGCCCTGTCCAGGAGTTCACTGTGCCTGGGAGCAAGTCCACAGCTACCATCAGCAACCTGAAGCCTGGAGCAGATTATACCATCACCTTATATGCTATTGTTGGCCGTGGGGACAGCCCAGCCAGCAGCAAGCCAGTTTCCATTGATTATCGAACAGGTACAGACTTCTCTCTGAGTGACACAGCCTTATTTATTCAAAGGCCTGTGTGTGTGTGATGTGTGTGTTGGACTAGGAGTAGACCCAGTGGCTTGTGTGCCCTAAAGTGTACACCAGCCTTGATTTTCTTTTCTTTTCTCTTTTCTTCCCTTTCTCTCTCTCTTTCTTTCTTCCTTCCCTTCCCTTCTTTTTCTCTTTTTCCTTATCCTTTCCCTTTTTCTCTTTCTTTCTTTTTGACAGTACTGGGGTTTGGATTCAGGGCCACAAGACTTTCTTGCTCATCTGGCACTCTACCACTTGAGACATAGTTCCAACCCTACATTTTGCTGTTTTGGGTGTCTTTTTTTTTTTTTTTTAACGAAGACAGACTCTTTTAGACTTTTCTTTGCCAGGCTGGCTTGAAACCATGATTCTCTGGATCCCTGTCTCTTAAGTAGTTAGGATTATAGGTTCACATGAGGCATATATACCTGGTTGTGATTTGTCTTTTTAATAAGACAAAACTTGTAGCTAACAGCACCTGCAGTGAACAGGTTTGAATCAAATATACAAGAAAGCATCTCAAAAGCAGAGATTTTGTCTGTTTGATTAATATGTCTTATGTACTTGTAATGAGTGAATGAGTTGATAAGGTAAAAGGAAAAACACCCTGCTTAGGATATGTAAAATAAAGCAGTCTTTTTTTTTTTTTTTGGGGTCCAGTTGTGGGGCCTGAACTCTGGGCCTGGATGCAGTCCCTCAGCTCTTCAGCTCAAGGCTAGTGCTCTAACACTTGAGCCACAGCGCCACTTCCGGCTTTTTTCTTTTTGCTTATGTGGTGCTGAAGAATCAAACCCAGGGCCTCAGGCATGCATGCAAGGCAAGCACTCTACCACTGAGCCACCTTCCCAGCCCCTAAAGCAGTCATCTTAAAAGTAGTTTTAAGAGCCAGGCGCCGGTGGCTTACGCCTGTAATTCTAGCTACTCAGGAGGCTGAGATCTGAGGATCACGGTTCAAAGCCAGCCCAGGCAGGAAAGTCTGTGAGACTTTTATCTCCAATAAACCACTAGAAAACCAGAAGTGGCACTGTGGCTCAAGCGGTAGAGCGCTCACCTTGAGCTGAAGAGCTGAAGGACAGCACCCAAACCCATCTAGCTAGCTATGTGTTGATCGTAAGGCTTGAACCCTGGGTCTTGGAGCTATCTGAAGTTTTCTTGCTCAGAATTAGCACTCTGCCAGTTGAGTTATAGCTCCTCTTCTCTCTGGTTAATTGGAGATAAGATTCTCATGAACTTTGCTGCCTAGGCTGGCTTTGAATCATGATCCTCAGCTCTTAGCCTCCTGAGTAGCTAGGTTTTCAGGTCTAAACCACTAGCACTTGGCAAAGTCTTCTTTTCAGTCATGGGCTTGAACTCTGGGCTTGGGCACTATCCCTGAGCTCTTCAGCTCAAGGCTAGTGCTCTGCCACTTGAGCCACAGTGCTACTTCTGGTTTTCTGGTGGTTTATTGGAGCTAAGAGTCTTGTGGACTTTCCTGCCCAGGCTGGCTTTGAACTGTGATCCTCAGATCTCAGCCTCCTGACTAGCTAGGATTATAGGCCTAAGCTACCAGCACCCGGCCAAACTCTTTCTTTTCTTAAAAAAAAAGAAGCACATAGAAGAACAAGAGTAGATTATTTGAATATACACCAGAAATTGAAACCAGGGTCTGTGTAGTCTTATTTCCAAGGGTTGGGATGTCACCAGCTTCTCTTTGTCTTTTGTTTGTAGAAATTGGCAAACCATCTGAGATGCAAGTGACAGATGTTCAAGACAACAGCATTAGTGTCAGGTGGCTGCCTTCAAGTTCTCCTGTCACTGGCTACCGAGTGACTACCACACCTAAAAATGGCCAGGGACCATCCAAATCAAAAACTGTGGGTCCAGGTAAGAATAACCAATTTTCTTTTTAAAATAAACAGCCAGTTTGTCATAAGGAATACATTTCATGTACTATATTGGAGCGATCCCATTAATAATTCAGGGGCTAAAAACTAATGCCAACTTAACTCTCAGTTTGTTTTACAATACAGAATTTCTGGTTTTTCAAAACAATTCTGTTTACTTAAGCAATTGTAACTGTGGTATTGTTTAGCATGCACATCAAGGAGAGAAGGATAGCTGGGTGCTGATGGTTCACACCTGTAATCCTAACTGCTCAGGAGGCTGAGATTGGAGGATAGGTACCAAGACTGCCCAGGCAGGAAAGCTCATGAGACTTCACTTATCTATAGTTAGCTACCAAAATGTCAGTAGTGAAGCTGTGGCTCAAGTGACAGAGTGCTAATTTTGAGCAAGAAAGCTCCAGACAGCCCTCAGACCCTGAGTTCAAGCCCCAGGACTGACTGGTGCTTGCTCATGCAAGTGTGCAAGTGCACGCGCACATGTGTGCAAATGCATGCACGCGCGCGCGCACACACACACACACACACACACACGCACACACACAAAGAGGAGTCTTATAGTTCTGTTGCTTTTATTTTTATATGAAATATTTGTAAAATTAATTAGATCTCAGGATCAAGGTTAATTTTGTCTTTGCTTTTCAGAGCAGGATTATTAATTGGGGTATTGTATCAAGTTGTAAAACCTCAGTGTGAGGTTTGTATTAGCAATGAAGGGTCAGGTTTTTTTTTCTTTAAGAGAAAATTGATGTAAGACTCATTTTGCAAGTGAAATTCTTTTCTACTGTGTTCTTACTATCAAATTCTGGAAGCTGCTTGGATGGCTTTTACAGTATATAGACACTGCATTTGCTTTGAACTCTCTTCACAGATGAAACAGAAATGACCATTGAAGGCTTACAGCCCACTGTCGAATATGTGGTTAGTGTCTATGCTCAGAACCAAAATGGAGAGAGCCAGCCCCTGGTTCAGACTGCAGTGACCAGTACGTAACCAACACTGGCTTCCATTCCTGAAGTCAGATTCTGTTCTTGGTTATCTGAATGTCCTCTGTATATCTTTGGCAGTTTTACAGAGGGAAGACCAATTGGTTGGCTCAGTATATATTAGGTTGAGCCCTTGACAAATGCTTTATTTTTTCTCAGTGCTAAGTAGTGAACATATGGGAACAGAAGTTGTGGCTCTGCCATAGTTTATTGCTGTGCTTTGAATTTTTCTTTTGCTCAAATGGCCTCAGCAAAAAGATCTTATTCACATATAGCAAATTTATAAGATATTTTGCTAGAGCCTTCTTTTCTATGACTGGCTGGTAAAGTTGACTGAAGTATGTCTTGTGGAGCTATTATGTTTGAAGGACTGTGGCTGGATCAAAATTTAATACAAATACTTAATGGAGAAAAGAAGAATTTAAGAGAAAATTAGAGCTATCTGAGTTTAACATTGAAAATCAACTTTACCAATCCAAAGCCATAGAAAACCCAGGTCTTTAGGACTAACATCAGATTGCAAGAACAAATCTTGGTGGCAGAGCTTCAAGTTAATTTAAATCTCCATTTGGGGACCATCTTGCAGTGTGTCTACAAATCTCACATACACCATGTTTTAATAAGTAATGCAACGTTAAATATTTTCTAAATCAAAAAACCAATGTCAAGTAATTTTTCCATTTAATAGTGGGGTTAAGGGAATTTAATTCATCAGAGAAAATGGAATCTGCAGAACTGCTTTGCATGTGATAAAAATGCTTATTTCACAACTTGCTTTTCACATAACCTCTTACCATTAATTTGCCTAACAGACATTGATCGCCCTAAAGGACTGACATTCACTGATGTGGATGTTGATTCCATCAAAATTGCTTGGGAAAGCCCACAGGGGCAAGTTTCCAGGTACAGGGTGACCTACTCGAGCCCTGAGGATGGAATCCATGAGCTATTCCCTGCACCTGATGGTGAAGAAGACACTGCAGAGCTGAAAGGCCTCAGGCCGGGTTCTGAGTACACAGTCAGTGTGGTTGCCTTGCACGGTGACATGGAGAGCCAGCCCTTGATTGGAACCCAGTCCACAGGTATATCGTTGACTGCACCGCTCAGGTGTACATGGGAGCAGCGGCTTTATGCCTGGCTGACATTGTATTTTATTGGGCAATTGATTCCCATGTAAGGGGGAAAATAACTCTCTTAGGATAGACTCTTTTGAAGGAGAAACGATAATTAAGATTAATATTTAGGTGATAGTTAAATAATATCAATTGATATTTAAGTAAAATCAATTGGACAATTGATTCCCACATAAGAAGAAAAGTAACATCCTCAGGCTCTTTTAGGAAAGACATTGTTGAAAGAGCAATGATAACACAGAATAATATTTAGGTGATATTTAAGTAAATAGTTCATAAAAAGAATTTGGAGTACCTTGACTTATTAAAAAAGAAAAGCCATATGTTAAAAGACTTGTGGCTCATGCCTATATTTCTAGCTACTCAAGAGGCTGAGATCAAGGGTTGAAACCAGTCTGGACAGGAAAGCCCTTGAAACTCTTATCACTCATTAATCAACAAAAAGCCAGTACCAAGCCGGGCGCTGATGGCTCATGCCTGTAATCCTAGCTAGTCAGGAGGCTGAGATCTGAGGATCATGGTTCAAAGCCAGCCTGGGCAGGAAACTCCGTGAGACTCTTATCTCCAATAAACCACTAGAAAACCAGAAGTGGTGTTGTGGCTCAAATGGTAGAGCACTTGCCCTGAGCTGAAGAGCATATGGACAGCACCCAAGCCGAGTTCAAGCCCCATGACTGACAAAAAAAAAAAGCGAGTACCAAGGCATGTCTCAAGTGGTAGAGCACCAGGCATGAGTGAAAGAGTTGAACAAGACTATGAGGCAGTGAGTTCCAGTCCCAGAGGAAATGATCGAACAGAAAATTAAAAGATCATAAAGTGAGACATCTGAAGGTGATACTAAAATTGTAGATTATTTTCTAAGCTATGACACCCCATAAATCAAATCCAACCATAAATCAAAGAAAAGTATTTCAGCATCATAGAGCTTACTCAGTAAAACAAACAAACAACAAGGTAGGGCAGCATGATCTGGGAACACTCGAATAAGAGCTTTCTTCCCTGGCTCTATAGCATGTGGTGGGGTATAATTTGCTTTAAAGTTTCAATTCAGACACATGGGAAACAATAATTTGAGCAAATGCTATCCACAATTCTTCATCCTCTTGTGCTTTATTTCTGGGGCTGAGTGGAATGCTAAAGGCGTGTCCTAGTGAAAGTCTAAACCATAGAGGTGACCATCTGTGTTACTGCTTTTTGCTTCTCTATCCTGCTTCTGTTGTGAGCCAGCATGAGGCCCAAATAAAGAGACAGTAAAACGTGTGTGTGTGTATATATATATATACATATATATATACACACATACACATATATACATATATATTGCATAGAATACTCTGTGAAATGGTTTTCCATATAAAAATAAATTAACATGGGAATCAGCTATTTCTCATCTTTTCATACAAATAGAAACATAATCCTAGTGACCAGTAAGCCAATCTAGTTTTTTATTTTATTTTATTTTTCTGTTTAAGGGATTGGGGAACCCTTTAAAAATCTAAAGCCCCTTGGAGTTTTTGAAATGTGGTGGATATACAACATGTTATTTCAGCAAACACTTTCTTCACTTTGTAACCCTTCTTAATACTTTATTGTATTGAAATTTATCTGACTCTAAAAGAACAATCTGTTCTTGTACTTCTTATTTCCCCCTTTTCTCCATTTCCTGTGAGAAAACCTCTAACGAATGACCATTCCAACAGCTATTCCTCCTCCAACCAACCTGAAGTTCACTCAGGTCACACCCACAAGCCTGAGTGCCCAGTGGACAGCACCCAATATTCAGCTCACTGGATACCGAGTGCGTGTGACCCCCAAGGACAAGACGGGCCCCATGAAGGAGATCCACCTTTCTCCTGATAGCTCTTCCGTGGTTATATCAGGGCTCATGGTAAGAAGTGATTTCCCACCAGGCACTGGAAGTTTACACCTATATTCCTGACTACTCAGGAGGCTGAGATCTCTTTCCTTGCCTGGGAAGGAAAGAGATTCTTATTTTCAATGAAACACCAAGAAGTTGGAAGTGGAACTTTGGCTCAGGTGTACAGTGTCCTGGCCCTGAGTTCAAGCCCCAGTACTGGAATGTGCTTGTGCGCATACACATAGACCTAGACACACAGACACATACAGTGACTTTCCATCATTAATATTCAAAAGTAGGTCATCTCTTACAGTTTATAAGATGGTAGAATATAATCTTACTATAAACTTTTTTTCCATGGCATCAAATAATTTTAAATAAATAGAATTCCTTTATGTTGACCTATGCCCTTTCTAGATGACTATTGAATAGGATTGTATATTAGCTTTAGATTTTGTGTAGTTCATTTTTACAAGCATTCTGCTTATTTTAAAACATATGTATGTAGGGGACAACACAGAATTTATGCATTTTTGTGAGCTGGCATGTAATATTCTCCAGTTTGTACTAACCCACATCTAGTTGACCCTCATTAAAACATTTTTGTAATCCTTCTAGACATTATGCAGAAAACTAGCTAGGATCCTAAGAGATTGATAAATATCTTAATAAAAGGCCAACTCTAGGTGAAACTACACAAAAGGGTTCAGAGACGGAGCACCAAATTCTCTTTTCCCGTCTGTGATCAGAAAAATTCTTAATTTGTACCTGTCAGACCATAAAGGGGAAATAGAAGGCTAATACCGCTTTTTCATTTTTATTTTTATCAGTTTAGCATAAAGGTGTAATTTTAAAGCTTAGTTGGGCATAAATCCCTAGAGTGTTTTTATTTAAGTCTGTTGCCAGTCATCTGTAAATAGGAATGTGAAATTAATCTAAGAGTTTACAGTGCTATATGTTGCTAGTTTATAGGTATTTTCTTTCTTTTATAACCACTGGAGTTATCTGATGCTTTAGTAGTGAAAGTTTAGGCATCATGCAATGACACTGCAAAAGCTTACCGTGTCCTTATTTCTAGGTGGCCACCAAATATGAAGTGAGTGTTTCTGCTCTTAAGGACTCATTGACAAGCAAACCAGCCCAGGGAATTGTCACCACTCTGGAAAGTAAGTAATCAAAAGTTTTAATACTGACAAGAATTAGTGAATGAGATCTTTGATCACTCAGTTAATCATGGAGGGAATCTTGATTTTTTTTTTTTAACCATGGATGTTGTCATTTCTCTTTTTGAATGCTGCCATTAAGGCACCTTCAGAAAATGGCTTACTGGACTAAGAAAGAGAATCACTTCTTGTTATGATGACATGGATTAGGGCTGCCAAACAGATGATGCACTATTTGTCAGAATTTTTCATAGGGTTGAGTTTGGGAAGGACACACAGGCTCTTGCTGTATTTTAACAGTGCAGGAATAAGGAGACCAACATGAGCTCGGATTTTTAGTTCTCCCCTGCTGTATGTCAATAACCTCCCATATGCGTTTTCCCCAAGGACATGAACTGTCAGTTTTGCTATCTATAAACCAAGGATAAAATAGAGAAAAGATATGAAGCCTTATAAAAACGACAACATGCCAGCAATAATATTAGCCACATTATATATAATTGCTGGCTGTGTTATTGTAATTCCTGCCACATACACTGTTACATTACAGTCAATTGATCATTTTTAACACTAAGGCATCTGCAGATATTGTAAAGTCAGCCCTGACTTTATAGAGTATTATATAAAAGCAGGTAATATTTATAAAGCACTTCCATTCTTCAAGGTTTAAGAGGTGAAAATTCTCTTTCCTAATTATTATTGATTTTTCTCTTTGAATGTCAGAAGAGATAACCTATAGATTATTAGTCTATGTCCTTTTCTGAAATAAATGTATTTGGCACATAATGAAGACATGTTTTAAAGTACCAAAAGCTTCCATGGATGAACGAGGCAGGCGTTAATTGATGTCACTGTGATCCATGCAGATGTTAGCCCTCCAAGAAGAGCCCGCGTGACGGATGCTACAGAAACCACAATCACCATTAGCTGGCGAACCAAGACTGAGACCATTACAGGCTTCCAAGTTGATGCCATCCCAACGACTGGCCAGACCCCAGTTCAGAGAATCATCAGCCCAGATGTCAGGAGCTATACCATCACAGGTCAGCACTCACCACACCATGTTTGTTCATCACATTCACAATGCAAACTCACTTATGAGTAATTCTCTGACTCTCGCTGGTCATCCTATTTCCAATGTTTTGTGGTGATACAGTGTGATAAAGTTGTTGGTGTACATGATGAGAAACAATTTTGTTTGTGAACCTCTGATTTCATTGAGTATTTATCAGAGAAATAGCCTAAATCTTAATATTCATCAAATTTATTCTTCATTACAATGCCCTTGTTTATTTAATATCTATATTATTTTTAAGTTTTTTATTTTATCATTTTGTTTTATTTGTGTCTAAGCATGGTGGTGAGCATGATCTTGAGCTTGAGGTCCAGAATAAGATACTGTTTTAAAAATAAAGCTGGGCTGGGAATGTGGCTTAGTGGTAGAGTGCTTGCCTAGGATGCAAGAAGACCTGAGTTCGATTCCTCAGTACCACATAAACAGAAAAAGCTGGAAGTGGAGCTGTGGCTCAAGTAGTAGAGTGCTAACCTTGAGCAAAAGAAGTTCAGGAACAGTGCCCAGGCCCTGAGTTCAAACCCTAGGACTGGCAAAAAACAAAAGCTAAATAAAAAATTTAAATTTAAATTAAAAAAAAACAAATAATATTTAAAACAAAAGAAAGGATGGTGTGTAATCCTTACCATTAATAATATTAGGTATAAAAGCCAACAGCTTATGCCTATAATCCTAGGAGGTTGAGATCTGAGAATCCAGATTTGAAGTCAGCTGGGGCAGACAAATCCATGAGAATCTTATCTTTGATTAAGCAGCCAACAGCTGGAAGTGGAGGTATCAGCTATGAGGAAGAAAGCCAATGGAGAGTGCCCAGGCCCGAGTTCAAGCCCCAGTACTGCACCAAAAAAAAAAAAATTAAATTTATAAAAACATACAGTGCTACTTAATAAAGGTCAAAGTGATAATCAGATTACTTTTAATATCTGGATTAGTTTATGTCTTTTTAATGTTTACAAATCTAATTCCAGGTACTAACAAATAATTTATTATGCTAAGGAGAAAAACCCCTCTAATAGTTGACTGCTCCTCCTCTAAGATGGTGGGTTAGGAACTAACATTTTCCTATTTTGAAATTTATTTTAGCTGGGATCATTGTCTACCATTAGTAATGTGATTTGGGGGTATGTTTCTCATTAACAGTTAATACCCATATCATGCGCTACTATTCAATTATGCACCACTTTTATGATCTACATAAATATGGAGCAGTAAAGGAAATGTCAGTTTAGCTTAAAAAAAAAAAAACTCCTAGTAAAGCAAGAACAAGTAAGAACCATGTCTTTTCAAATCCCAGGTTTACAACCAGGCACTGACTACAAGATCCACCTGTACACCCTGAATGACAATGCCCGGAGCTCCCCTGTGATCATTGATGCCTCTACTGGTAACTATCCTTTGCACTGGGGAAATGCAATCAGGAATCAGTCACGTGAACTTAAAAATATCACAGGAGTAGCTGACATTTCTGGTATTGTAGCTTGCCGTGAATTATCTATAGTTGACAGAATTCTGTCTCTTTAGGACTGGAATAAGGAGAACATGTGAGTATTGATACGGCATATTGCTTTTCTGAGACTTCATTCTGTTTCCTTTTTAGCCATTGATGCACCATCCAACCTGCACTTCCTGACCACCACACCCAACTCTGTGCTGTTATCATGGCAGCCACCCCGTGCCAGAATTACTGGCTACATTATCAAGTATGAGAAGCCTGGGTCCCCTCCCAGAGAAGTCGTCCCTCGGCCCCGCCCAGGTGTCACAGAGGCCACCGTTACTGGTACAACTGCTTTTATATTGACAATGTTCTCATTTCCTTGAACTTGCCTTCCATTCTGAGGGCAAAAAGCTTGGTCCAGTAGAAGGCAGTCTGTATAGGAGCAGTAGAGTTCATAGGCCTCAAAACCCATGAATCTAAGAACATGCAGTGTCAGTCTTGTAATACGGCATAACAAGGTTGTCTGGATTTTTTTTTTTTTTTTTTTTTTTTTTTTTTTTGCTTAAGTTCACCTGTGCAATTCTGGAAGAAGGTAATTTCCATTGCAAACTAGCTAGTTATGATCATGTCCTCACACTCAGCCTCCTATAGCTCTGGTAATGCTGTACAACCTTCCTAATTACCACCTGTCATTGGTCCCAGTATGCAGTTACACATAATAGATCTGGAGGCAGCGCTATCCCGGCCACCATCCCTGGATAGAGTACCTGGGGTGGGAATAATGTTGCCCCCTTGGTGAGAAATGTTATAGGCCTCTGGTATTTTTTGCCCTAGAGATGAAACAAATTGTATTGGTAGTATCTAAATATTAGAATCCTATAGAGAATATGGAGAATGCAGATACCTAGAGACACTGTCTTCCTCTGACATTTTAGGGATCAGGGAAGTTGATGTGGGAATTGATGAGCTGGATACTTCCTACAGGGCTCACATGAAGATTGCTTAACTGTTCTTAACTTTTTGTGCTCTGCCATTGATGGTTGCCTGGTTTAGACCTAAATAGATTCATTTATAAAATCTACAGTGACCCCATGTGTATGCTGTATTGGTGGTATACTCTATTGAATATATTCAATATTGAATATATTGGCTAAAAGAGTACCCTAGGGCCAGGTGCCAGTGGCTCATGCCTGTAATCCTAGCTACTTAGGCTGAGATACAAGGATCGTGGTTCGAAGCTAGCCCAAGCAGGAAAAATCTGTGACTCTTATCTCTAATTAACCACCAAAAAACAAAACCCTGAAGTGGAGCTATGATGCAGATGATAGAGCACTAGCCTTGAGTACAAAAGTTCAGGAACAGCACCCAGGTCCTGAGCAAGCCCCAGGACTGGCACCAGGGTGGGCGGGAGAGGGGGAGTGGAGAATATCCTAGAAAAGTCAATAAGAAAGTGATCATTCAAGTGTCAGGTGTGATGGCAAGAATTGGCTAAATGTCCTTCTTTGGGTATAGAAGAAAAGTTGATTTTTTTTTTTTTTTACCTTGGCCAGTAGCCAGGTGGAGAGGGATGAGTACTTGCTCCCCAGCAGCCTCTGTTGGCAAGGCAACTCCCACTTGACTAGCTGGGCCCACCAACCTTCACCTGCCTTCCTATGTTCTTCTATCAGGCTTGGAACCAGGAACTGAGTACACGTTCTATGTCATTGCCCTGAAGAACAACCAGAAGAGTGAGCCTCTGATTGGAAGGAAAAAGACAGGTAAAGAGCTATAGTGGAGAAGGTTAAAAAGAAAAAGAAGCCTCATCACAAATCATTGCGAAATACTCCACATTTTGATGCATTTCTCAGGGAACTCTTTTTCTCCTAATAACATAGCTTATATATTTTTTGGTACACTTTTGACAGGAATAACCTAAGAAGCTCTGAGGAATTCCATTCATTTACAGCCAGTCATTATAAAATCTTACTATTCCTTTTCCAAAAAAAATCAAACTGTATGTTATTATGATCTCAGGTGGACATTGCATTCTACCAAATTACTTATGATGTTCTTAAATTTTTGTTTCGGTCTTCATTTATTATTTGGTTTCTGAAACTTACTTTGTTATCCAGTTTCAGTTTAATATGAAGAAAATACTACATCAGTCATGTTAGGAATGCCTTTGAAAATAAATGTCTATGTGTTTTTATTTATGCTTACCACTTCAAGAAAAATCTTTTGAGCAGAACCTCTGTAATTCTCACACTTCAGATACTGTTATGATTATTTTGGATTCTAGATCCAACAAGATGCTTCTCAAATGTAAAAGAAAAACAAGGGCGAAAGGCTGCATACCTCATTTCTTATAGGCTTCATGTGAGCAGAGGCAGCTTTTATGGGGCTCAGCGGCTCAAAGCTTTGTATGTATGATAAATTCATGGCTCAAAGCTTTGTGTGTCTGATAAATTCATACTAACACTTTTTTTTTCTAAGCAACAAAGAAACCTTTGAGAAAAAAAATCAAAGATTTCTTTTCCAGAAAAAAAAATATTTTATGATCTGTGGACTGCTGATTTTCCAGGGGCTTTGATCAAGTTGATAAACTGTCATTGTTGCCTGAATTGATAACAATTATTGCTGCCAATGACTGGAGCTTAACGCGCTTTGCTTTTTTTGGCTCTAACCTCTCTTGGCTAGATGAGCTTCCCCAACTGGTAACCCTTCCACACCCCAATCTTCACGGACCAGAAATCTTGGATGTTCCCTCCACAGTTCAAAAGACCCCTTTCATCACCACCAATCCTGGGTATGACACCGGAAATGGTATTCAGCTTCCTGGCACATCCCATCAGCAGCCCAGTGTTGGGCAACAAATGATCTTTGAGGAACATGGTTTTAGGCGGACCACACCACCTACCGCGGCCACCCCAGTAAGGCTCAGGCCACAACCATACACACCGAACGTAGATGAGGAGATCCAAATTGGTCACGTCCCCAGGGGAGACGTAGACTACCACCTCTATCCTCACGTTCTGGGACTCAATCCAAATGCCTCTACAGGACAAGAAGCGCTCTCTCAGACAACCATCTCTTGGACCCCATTCCAGGAAAGCTCTGAGTACATCATTTCATGTAATCCTGTTGGCACCGATGATGAACCCTTACAGGTAATTTGTTTTTAATTCCTTTCTTGGGACTAGGCACCCTAACAGGGTTCAACTGTTAACAGAAGTGACCATGTTTAGATACAAAATAATGGACTCTCTAGGACTCTCAGCAATAGCATGTGTAAGCTCTGAATATATAGATATATTTTAAAATCTCTACTTTCGTAGATGTACTAGATGGAGTATATCATTAACTCTTACTTGGTAGAAAAAAATGGAATAATTTTTATTATTCTTATACATTAGAGTCTCTTCAGTGAGTTGGACAGAAAGATGATCCTAAGAAAGTAAGAAAGGAATGAAGAAAGGAGGAAAAGGAAGGAAAGGTAGAAGGAAAGAAAGAAAAAATGAAAGAAAAGAAAGAAAGACCATATTCTGCTTGAATTTACATTTGTTTAAAGTCTAAAATACCCCTTAGAATTTGTCCTTGAGAAATCCCAATATGTCTTAAAAAGAAGAGAAGGCTATGTGTACCAGCCGATTGATTTTTCTAACGGAAAACACCATTCTTTAATTTGTCCCACTGGTACAGGAATCATTTTTTATTGTGTTCTTATTTTTAGGAAGTGTCAGAAATTTTCAAATAGTCTGTACTTTGGGAATATGTGGCTCAAAAACAAGAGGTTGAGGATGTGCCTGCGTCTTCTGGTCTGTTGCCTCCTTGCTTGGCATGACCGTATCTCCCATAGAGCACCATATGTGTGTTTGTGTGAAGACCACATGGCCAGTTCTCCGGCTTCTGTGCAGGATTATGAGGAAACCTACAAAGTTGAGGGCCTCTGGTAACTAGGGAGCACAGAGGGAAATTTTTGATAAAAAGCTGGCAGAAATAGTGGCTTCATCCCACTTATTCTACTTCTCTTCTTGGCTAGTTGGGAGTCTTACAATGATCTTCTTTATGTCACCCTGTGCTTTGTGTTTAAGCAGAGCAGGTTATTGAGAAGAGAATGGGGTAGGGGCCATGTCTGTGCTTCACTTTAATGCATTCTCCCCACTTTGGTTGTACCAATAATTGCAGTTCCGAGTTCCTGGCACTTCTTCCGCTGCCACTCTGACAGGCCTGACCAGGGGGACCACCTACAATATCATAGTGGAGGCCATGAAAGACCAGAGGAGGCACAAAGTGCGGGAGGAGGTTGTTACAGTGGGCAACTCTGGTATGTACACTTGTGCTGTTCAGGCCCAAGCCCCCAGAGGAGGAGGCTTTTTCTATTGTTTCTCTCTTACTGTTGTTTTTTTTAGGCATTTGAAGCAAAGCTGCAGCATCTATATGCAGTAAAGAACAGCTTTAGATCCAGTTATTTTTCCCTTGGCTGATATGCATACCGAACAAAGAGACTGAGAAGATGATATATTGGTCTAGAAGGGACTTCAAGTATTTTTTTTAGTTCAACATTGAGTCCTTGCTCATGAGTGTTTTGAGGTGACATAGGACATTGGGTTCCTGATATCTTTTCTTTAACCCTCTCTGTCTCATCAATTGGTGTTCCCATTGAGTGATTCATAGTCCTGAAATTGATTACTTGTAAAGAAACACTCCCTCTGCAGGAGGGCCTACAAACAGCCCTTCCTACCCATAGTTTCTTTGTTCCAAAGTTATATATATATATATACATATATGTATACATATTTTTTTTATTTTTTTATTTTTTTGCCAGTCTGAGGCTTGAACTTAGGGCCTGGGCACTGTCCCTGAGCTTCTTTTGCTCGAGGCTAGCACTATACCACTTGAGCTACAGCGCCACTTCTGGCTTTTTCTGTATATGTGGTACTAAGGAATTGAACCCAGGGTTTCATGCATGCTAGGTGCGCACTCTACCACTAAGCCATATTCCAGCCCAGTTATTATATTTTAATGTCTTTTTTCTAGTTATATAATAAAAGTTAAATAACCATTGACACCCCCCCCCCACACACACACACATACTCCTGCTTGTGTGGGTACACACACATGTATGCATGGGTGTGTGCCTGTCCTGGAGCCTCTTCACTCAAGGCTGAGCTTCTACCTGCCAGGGCTGGCTTTGAGTGCAATCTTCAGATCTCAGCCTTCTGAGTAGCTAGGATTACAGGTGTGAGCCACCTGGCTTCTGAGCTGGCTTTGAATCACAATACTATCTCAGCCTCCTTAGTAGCTAGGATTGTAACTATGAGGCACTGGCACCCTGCGCATTGACTCTTTGTGGCACCTGAGATGTCCCTTAGTGTGCCACTTGGCTTTTCAATTTAGATGGTAAACTTTTTCCATTTTCTTTCTAACTCATTACTCCCAGGCAGGTTATTTCAAGCTAGGTTATTCTGGCTTTGAACATTCAGACATTTTAGTTCTCTAGGTACTATTTTTTCCCCTACTAATTTTTTTTTTTTTTGCCTTTTGAAATATTAGGCACTTCAAATACCTGTTGCATTTGAGCTTTTGATATTTTTACACTGTAAAAACATATGCATTGGATTTGAAGTCACAGTGTTAGCTTATTTGGTATTTAGAGAATAACTTAAGGCATGCTTTATACAGATTATTAAAAAATTAGTTTTTCCGGGGCTGGGTAGGTGGCTCAGTGGTAGAGTGCTTGCCTTGCATGCATGGGGCCCTGGGTTCGATTCCTCAGCACCACATAAACAAAAAGAAAAAAAAAGCCGGAAGTGGCAATGTGGCTCAAGTGGTAGAGCGCTAGCCTTGAGCGGAAGAGCTGAGGGATAGCGCCCAAGCCCAGAGTTCAGGCCCCATGACCAGACCCAAAAATAAATAAATAAAAAGCCTTTAAAAAAAAAAATTAGTTTTTCCAAGACATGAAGGGACAAGATCTTAGCTAACAGGATGAGGTGTGATTACTTATTCCTAAGTCATTTATATCCTGTTGCTTTCTCTTATTTGGAAGTTAGTTTTAGTGATAAAAGCAACTTTACCATTATAATAGTGCATGAAATCTAGGAATTTTGCATGGTTACACAAAACACTGAATATTAGTAAACATGGTATAAGGGCATCTGAAAATGCCAAGACTTGGATGAAATCTTAGCTACTCAGGAGATTCAAAATCAGGAGACTCATGGTTCCCAGGCCAGCCTGGGAAAAATGCTAACAAGATTATCTCAACATATTAGCTAGACATGATGGTACAATTTGTATTTCCAACTATGCAGGAGACTGTAGATAGGAAGATCACAATCTAAGACCAGCTCCTGGCAAAACCACATGTCAGAAAAATCACTAATGCAAAAAAGGGGCTGGGAGCATAGTACAGGATCTGCCTTTGCAAGCACAAGATCCTGAGTTCAAACCCCAGTAGCCACATAAACAACCAAACAAATGTTCACTTTGGCATTATAAGCAAAGAATCACATCTAATCATTCTTAGTGGGCACTTTCAAGTGTTTTGACAAAAGCCAATGCTATCAGTTCTTCCTCTCATACAATCTTTATATGGTAAGTGAATATTATGGTGAATGAATATTAATTCATTATTAACTCAGAATTAATTCACAAATAATTAGTTGAAGGGTATTCAGGTATTCATGGAAAGGCATCATCACCACCCGAGGTCTTACCTAGTTTTAAACTTCTCCAGAATCTGTTTCATGTTCTGTAAAGTAAACCTACCAGGAATGAGCAGTTTGTAGAAGTGATGACAGAAATGAAAGCTGGGCTCCTTTATGATGCTGTGGCAGGTGACCCCTGACTCCACGTAAACATTGTTTGTGAGTGAGTGTGGCCAGTCCCTTCAGAGGAGTCAAATGCTTCTTTGTGCTACTTGGTTAAGCCCTTCTATGTCATGCTTCCATTGCTCCTTATGGTCCCAGCCCACCAATAAAAAATATTTTTATCTTCCTTTTCTTCCAGTCAATGAAGGCCTGAACCAACCCACCGATGACTCATGCTTTGACCCCTACACAGTTTCCAATTATGCCATTGGAGAGGAATGGGAGCGGTTGTCTGAATCTGGCTTTAAGCTCACGTGCCAGTGCTTAGGCTTTGGCAGTGGTCATTTCAGATGCGATTCATCTAGTGAGTAGCTTGCTTTGTCCATCCATCTTTTCTTCCATCTCTTCCAAAGAGTTCCATTGCATTTGCACTAATGTACCAGAGAAGCATGTTTGGGCACAAGCTTTCCCAAACATGAAGCAAACACAAGAGAACTGTTTGACTCAGAGTAACATTTTGCATCATAAAAATATATGATGGGAAATTTTACTTGTCCAATATTGCTTTATTAATAGGATTGTACACTAACACAACTGTTAACTAAAAAATAAGTTTGTAGTGGTGATTTGACTTTTCAAGTTTTCTGTTAAATTTAATCAAAGTCAGATTCTTAGGAGCCAGGTGTAATTCGGTGGATTGGTGATACAAACTACCAAATCGCTGTTAATCTTTATGTTGAATGAGATCAGAGGTGAACATTTAAAAATGTAAACACTGTTTCTTTAAACACAAACCAAACATACTTGTGTCAGTATACCATTATCTACACACACATACTCTGTCTCTCTGTCCCTCTGTCTCTCTCTGTCTCTACCACTACCATCACAACAACCATCACTCAGCTTTAACAATTTCTAATAATATGAAGCAATGTGTACACAGGAATCAACTAGAATTAAAACATAATTTGATTTTCAAAGCATAAAGGCATTTTAACTTCAAAGAAGTTTGTAGTAAAACCTGATCCTAGGAATTACCTATTATGCTTTGAGGTTTAATAGTAGAATTTATAATGTTTCACTTATTATTTCTATTTAGGAGATATAATTATTCACCATTGATTCACTTTTACAGGTGCTAACCATTATATCTTATGAACAAGCCCTCCTATGGACAATTACAGAAATCATTCTGTGGAACTGAAATAGAACAGATTTTTTTTTAAAAATTGCTTGAATGCATTTTACTTCTGTTGTATACACAACGTGATTTAATCCAGACTGAAATTTAAAAGCTAATCAGTGTTTTCAGTGTAGGACTTCTGAGCTTGGCCAGCTGAGAATGGGAAGGTGGGACAGGGCTCTGGAGAATCTTGTGATGGAGTTGATGTCATTACTGTCTACTTGGTGATTGTTGCTTTTGGGCATTGAACTACCTTTACTTTGCATATTTTTACCTGCATAAGTACCTAGGTACAATTGTGGGGACCCAACTATATGGTTGTTTGTGTGAATCTTTAGCTCAACCTACATATTCTTTACTAAAATGTTATAATTCTTTAACTTTTTTATAGTTTAAGACTGCATTATTGATAAAATGGAAGAAATGATGCATTGTGATGTAAATTTCTGAAGGATGTTCTGTTTCAGGGATTAAAAAGTCACTTTTATTTCTGATAGTTAGATGCATAACTTGGGCCTTGGACGTCTGTGGAAGCCATGTTTTACTTGTAGGTTAATTATGATTGTTGTCATTCTGCTTCATTTCTGTTCTGTCACTTAGGTTTATTTTATGCCTTCTATTTATATGAGGCAAGTGGTGACTGGTAGAAACCATTTGATCTCTACTTATGATTGATTAACTTCTTTATCTCTGAGGTCTCAGCAAATCCAAAGTGATTTTTTTTAATCCCTAAAACATCCAAGCTGGGTGTTGGTGGCTCACGCTGTAATCCTAGCTACTCAGGAGGCTGAGATCTGAGGATTGTGGTTCAGAACCAGCCCTGGCAGGAAAGTCCGTGAGACTCTTATTTCCAATAAACCACCAGAAAACCAGAAGTGGTGCTGTGGTTCAAGTGGTAGAGTGCTAGCCTTCAGCTGAAGAGCTGAGGGAGAGCACCCAGGCCCAGAGTTCATGCCCCACAACCAACCAAAAAAAAAAAAAAATACCCAATCTGACTTTAATTCTCTAAAAAATTTTAAATCTTAATAGTGAGAATTCAACTGGGAGTCATTGATTTGTTCTATGACATATTAGTAACAGAATAAACTTTGAAAGTGGCCTAGAAAATATCAAATACTGTAGACAATATTTTAACATCCAGTCAGAGTCTGCTCATCACGGAGCTCTTATCTGTAACTTCTCACACTTTCTGGATCCATCCATCCCAGTGCACTGGCTGTCCCGTGAGTCAGAACACAACGAACCCTTTGCCTGTGGTTTCTCCATTTTGCAGAATGGTGCCATGACAATGGTGTGAACTACAAGATTGGAGAGAAGTGGGATCGGCAGGGCGAAAACGGCCAGATGATGAGCTGCACGTGTCTTGGGAATGGAAAAGGAGAATTCAAGTGTGATCCTCGTATGTTACCACAGATCTCTGCCTTCTGGAGTGCTCCCCCTTTTTGTTATCTGCAGGGACTTGGAGATCTCTTTGAAGATGGAATGGTGGTTTTTGTTATTCTTTTGACTTGGAAATGCAAAGTTGAGGTTCAAAAAGGAGTCATGTATCACTTAATGCTATTCCAAGATACTGTAGCACTTTCTAACTTTTCTATATTTTGACCATTATCTTCAGGAAAATATTACAAGAAGGCTTTGTTAATCTGTAGATGCAGGGTTATTTTATTTGGTTGTTTTTTTTTTTTTTTTTATCAGTCCTTGGACTTGAACTCAGGGCCTGTGCATGGTTCCTGAGCTTCTTTTGCTCAAGGCTAGCATTCTAGCACTTGAGCTACAGCGCCACTTCTGGCTTTTTTTGTTTATGTAGTACTGAGGAATTGAACCCAGGGCTTCATGCATGCTAGGCAAGCACTCTACCACTAAGCCACATTCCCAGCCTATAGCCTTTTTTTTAAATAAAAATATATCATTTTAGTGTTATTATTAAGGTGTTGTACAGAGGGTTTACCATTTCATAATGACTGCATTTTTATTTTTGGACACTGTCATTCCTTTGCTTTCCTCTAGTTTTCCTATCCTATCCCTGCCCATAAGTTATACAGTTCATTTTCCATGTAGTTTACACTGAATAGTAAGATTGCATTTATTCACCCTCCCTGCCTCCCTTTCTGTGCTTCCCTTTGCCTCTCTCCCCCCTACCCCCCCCCCCCCCCTCACTCAGTTAAAACCTTTCTGTCTTCCCATTGAACCTAGTAGATCAAGCTTGGAGAAACATGGCCCTAAGATCTATGCATCACTACCTACCATGGACACTCACATGCATGAGATTTGGGCTAAGATACAAATGTTGGAGCCACCCTGACATTAGGTCAAATCTACATTACCTTCTTAGTCTTACAAACACTTTTTATTTGTACCCACATGTAGATGAAGCTACATGCTATGACGATGGGAAGACATACCATGTAGGCGAACAGTGGCAGAAGGAATACCTGGGGGCCATTTGCTCCTGCACATGCTTCGGAGGCCAGCGGGTAAGACTGGACGTACTAAGCTCTCTACAATGTAGATGACACACAAAGGAGGCTTCTGTATGGATGTGCTGTGTACACAAGGGTACCTGGACCTCTAATGAAGAGTCCCTAAGACAAGAGTATCCTTTCCCAGGTTCCCTGTCCTTGTCAGCTTCAATCCCTATAATACCTGTTTGCCCTCTTCCTTAGCACCTAAAGTGTTAAAGCTGTAGGAGTGCTCTTGCTATATTATTTGTTAATGTGTGTGTGCAATACTGGGATTTGTACTCAGGGCCTGAGTGCTATTCCTGAGCTATTTTCTCTCAAGGCTGGTGCTCTACCATTTGAGTCACAGTTTTTTTGAGTCACTTCCAGTTTTTTTGGTGATTAACAGGAAATAAGGAGTCTTTTCAACCCAGGCCAGGCTGGCTTCGAATTACAAATCTATATTTTGAGTAGCTGGGATTACAGACATGAGCCATATGTGTGCAGCATAGTTAAATATTTTGAACAATAACTGGGATCTAAGCAAATGCCACCTCTTGGTGCCCCTCATCGATCCTAAAATGTTGCTATAATACTATGCTAAATAAGGAGGGGAAAATAAAGGAAGTGAGAAGTGAGAAGTGGCCTAGAGAAGTCAGACACATTAAACTAGCAGACATTGCAAAATCAAACTAATTAAGTATGATTGAGTGAGGCTGGAATCAGTAAGGTTTCATGAGAAAGAGAAGCACGGGCTGGCTGATGTCTGAGATTTGTTCCGGGGAGGGAAGAAAGCAGAGAGACAGTTTAGTCTCTGAGAAATGCTAGGATTCTAGGCACATCTCCTCTATCCAGTGCAGAAAGCTTACTGAGGAGGCTGGGCTAGAATAAGCCTTGGTCAGTGAGTGGGGTTTGCATGGAAAGACAATGGAGGACATGTCCAGAGAAAGGACCGACGAAAACAGGCAGGACAAGTGTAAGATACAGCAATAAACCAAAATGTATGGAGAATTTAAATAAGTGGGACCATCATCACAGCTTCCTTAGTGATTATCTGCTTGTATTTTGCAATGCACAAGAGGCAAGAGTCTTTACTCAAGCACTAAATTACAGTGTCCTCTGGTTATTTTAGTTTGATTTTATGTTCTCTCCCTCAGGGCTGGCGCTGTGACAACTGCCGCAGACCGGGGGCTGAGTCCAGTCCTGAGGGCACCACTGGCCACTCCTACAACCAGTATTCACAGAGATACCACCAGAGAACGAACACTGTGAGTGCGTTTTGTCACGTCTCCCTCCCCAAATGCAATCAGGTGCACAGCGGGAAGTATGCTTCTTCTAAATGAATCAAATGAGTTTACATTTTTTTAAAAAAAGGTCTGACAAAACCTATCATCATAGCTGCTTGGGATGTAGAGATTGGGGAATCAAGGTCCCCAGGAGAGGACATGGAGGTTGAAGAAGTGAGGGAAGTAGCTGAAGATTCCATTTAACCAATGGCTGAGCGGGTGGTGTGTGCCTGTCATTGTCAGCCACGGGAAAGCACAAGTAGAAGGATCACAGACCAGGTTGTCAGGGGGACAGATATTGAGACCAGACCTTGAAAATAATCCAGAAACGGAATGGGGGCAGGGCAAAAGTGGTAGAGCACCTGCCTAGGAAATGTGAGGCTTCAATCTCCACTGCCAGGAAAAACTAATAATATTTAATAAAAGTCTTACCAGTGACTTGGGTGGGTCACTATGTCCTGGATCAGAATGTATAGTTTATTAAACTCCTGAACCTCTTGGATTGCTTAGTGTTTTGGTAGGGTCTTGAAAGTGTCCTTTCTGTAAGTACCTGCCATAGAAGTCTTCTCTGTCCACACTTTCGTTTTTTTCTCATTGTTTTCTTTTTTTTTCTCCCATTTAACAGAATGTTAATTGTCCAATTGAGTGCTTCATGCCGTTAGATGTCCAGGCTGACAGAGAAGATTCCAGAGAGTAATATTTGCAACCCGAAGGAGCAAGCGTGTCTCTCTCTTTCTCTGCCGAGGTCCATCCAAACTAGAGTGATGCAGCAGATCTCATGTTTGAGTGTTCGTTTCTTTCTTATGCCTTTTGCCCTGGAGTTAAGACCTCCAGCTTCAGCGCGACTCACAGCTTGTCCGAAAGCATCACCCTGGGAGGGTTTTGAGATATTTCTCGTGTAAGGGCAGCGTACTGCCTGCTCTGCTTCAGAATATTCAGTACCGCTCAGTATTTTTTAAAGAAATGATTCTCAGTGTGATTTGGTTTGGGATCCATAGAGAAGCATATGCAGCCAACCAAGATGCAAAATGTATTGACTGATACTATAAAAATTTTTCAATAGGAAAGTTACCCAAACACTTCTGCTTTCATTTAACTGTCCAGGCCCCTCGACTATCGATATGGCATACTGTGATGTTTGAATTTTTTTTTCACAGTACTTATTTTCAAAGATTTTAATAATTGCCTGGAAATACCTTTCTCTTACCTGTTATTTATCAATTTTTCCCAGTATTTTTATACGGAAAAAATTGTATTGAAGACACTTAGTATGCAGTTGATAAGAGGAATTTGGTATGATTATGGTTGGTGATTATTTTTTATACTGTATGTGCCAAAGCTTTACTACTGTGGAAAGAAACTGTTTTAATAAAAGATTTACATTCCACGACTTGAAAGTCTCTTTAAAAAACAAAAACACCCAGGTATTGGGGGAGGAAATGAGAATCTTCATGAATGTGCTTTTTCTTTTCAATTTAACAAAATTGAAAATGTGTAAATCTTAGGTGATTTCTGTACAAGACTTTTTGCCTATTGCTAGAAAAACACAGAATCTTTTTTTTTTTCTTTTGGTCAGTCGTGGGTCTTGAACTCTGGGCCTGAGCACTGTTCCTGTGCTCTTCAGCTCAAGGTGAGCGCTCTACCACTTGAGCCACAGGGCCACTTCCGGTTTTCTATCTTTTTTTATTGGGGATAAGAGTCTCTCGGACTTTCCTGCCCAGGCTGGCTTTGAACCGTGATCCTCGGATCTCAGCCTCCTGAGTAGCTAGGATTATAGGTGTGAGCCACCGGCGCCCGGCTGAAAAACACAGAATCTTGTGTGTATGTGTTGGGGGTGTTTCTGGGGCTTGAACCCAGGACCTGGGCATTGGTCCTGTGCTTTTATGCTCAGTTCTGACATACTACCACTTGAAACATAGCACCACTTCTGACTTTTTGGTGGTTAACTGGAGATAAGAGTCTCACAGATTTTCCCATCTGGGCTGTTTTTTTTTTTTTTTGGGCGGGGGGGATGGGGGTCCGGTCGTGGGCACTGTCCCTCAGCTCTTCAGCTCAAGGCTAGGCGCTCTACCACTTAAACCACAGCACCACTTTCAGTCTTTTTTCTTTTTGCTTATGTGGTGCTGAGGAATCGAACCCAGGGCCTCATGCATGCAAGGCAAGCGCTCTACCACTGAGCCACTTTCCTAGCCCGTCTGGGCTGGTTTTGAACCATAGTCCTCAGATCTTAGTCTCTTGTGTAGCAAGGAGTGAGCCACAGTACCCAGTTACAGATCCTTTTTTTTTTTTTTTTAATGCTCTTCTGGAGAGATAGCTTGTTTACCTTAAGTGGACTCAAGTATTTATATTAAACTTTGGAGCTAACACTTCAGGAATGTATGACTGAAATAATCTTCAGTTACTTTAGCCATTATAATGTTTCCCTCTCCTCTTCTCCTTCCTTCACTGAATAGACATCTACTCTACAGATCACCTGCAAGGAAAGTGAGGATGACTGAGCAGTTACAACATTACAGAACAAGGCAGTTTTGTCTTAGGGAATCCCTCTGGTATAATAACCTCTCTCCAGCCTATGTTAATTCATGTCAGCAGACACTTAGCATGACTTGATAAACTCCCCCACTGAACGGTTTGCTTACTCCTGGCCTGCAAAGATAATTTCCTTTTCCATTTCACCTTGGGGAAATAAAACTTTGGGATTAATACTGACATTCAGGGCTGGGGCAGTATCTCAGTTGTAGAGCTCAGGATGTGTGAGCTTTGGGTTCAAGTCCCTAAAAGAAAGAGGGAAAAAAACACAAGCCTATTTAAACTCTGATGCTCAGAACAATAAATAGTAACATCCAATGAAAAATTAATACCTTGTAAGACTATAAATACATGAAATGAACTTTCATTTTTCAGGAAGAGAAAAACAAGCTCACATTTGAGCTGCTTTGCAATTTTAAAAATATTTGGACATTTAGCATCTCATTTGGTGGAGAGGCTCCAGCTGAATTTTACAAGGAGTACAGCAAACCACAGGCCCAGATCCTGGGTTTTGACTTCAAACCACTGGCCATTCAGCCTTATTGCAGGATCAGGTGGGCTCCAGTGGAGGTCTGGTGTAGCTGCCGCTGCTCACCACAAAGCTATGGGAACCCCACTGGAGACACAGGCACACCAGCTTCTAGACCTTTGGTCTGCAAAAATGAGATGGCCCGGCAGACACCTGAACTTCAGCCCGATCTTGTCTCATCTGATGGTCATTATATTTAAAAGCTAAGAAAAAGCAACTTTGGGTGAACGTTGACTATGCTATAAACCACCAACCTATATAAAGTTTCCCTAAAATGCAGTTTAAATAAATCTGGTTGGACCATGTTAATTAAATGACTAACAAGCCTCTTCAACTTTTAACAGAAAATCATAATCTACAGTTAAAAATAAATAAACACCCTTCTCAAATGTTTTACGGGCTTTTAGAAGCAATAAAGTTACAAGTGAAGCTTGAAAAACATTAAACAGGGCTGGGAAGATGGCTCAGTGGTAGAGCGCTTGCCTTGCATGCACGAGGCCCTGGGTTCGATTCCTCAGCACCACATAAGCACAAAATGCCAGAAGTGGTGCTGTGCTCAAGTGGTAGAGTGCTAGCCTTGAGCAGCAAAAGCAGCTCAGGGACAGCGCTCAGGCCCAGAGTTCAAGCCCCACAACTGGCAAAAAAAAAACAAAAAAACATTAAACAAATGTAAAGGGTCTTTTCTGTTTAGGCACCATACTGCAAGCATGGTAAAAATGTTGGTACTAGAGCTTGAACTCAGGGCTTGAACACTGTTTCTTACTTTTTTCACTCAAGGCTGCCACTGTATCACTTGAACCATAGCTCTATTTCTGACTTTTAGTTGGTTAATTAGAAATAAAGTCTCAGACTTTCCTGTTTTGTATGGCTTTGAAGTGTGATCCTAAAGACTCAGCTCCCTGAGTAGCTAGTATTACAAGTGTGAGCCACCAGTGCCTGGCAAAAAAAATTGTTGTTTTTTTCTCATGGTCAAACATAACTATTAGGCTTTACTTACAAACAACTAATGTCTTCCTTTAAAAAATACCTAGAACTTAAACACTTCCCAATCCATCACATATAAATTGGTATAAATTATTTATATCTTCCAAATAAAACATTACAGATCTTCTGACATTATCTTCTTAAAAATAACATGACGCCAGTGGCTCATGCCTATAATCCTAGCTACTCAGGAGGCTGAGATCTGAGGATTGCGGTTCAAAGCCAGCCCAAGCAGGAAACTAGAAGTGGTGCTGTGGCTCAAGTGATAGAGCACTCGCCTTAAGCTGAAGAGCTGAGGGACAGTGCCCCAGGCCCAGAGTTCAAGCCCCACGACTGACCAACAAAACAAAACGAAAACATGGCAACTAAAACTTTGGTTAGTAACAACTTGCATAGTTTTGGCACAGCATGCCAGTTAGTACCCAGGTTGCATTTTCTATTTGAGATCATTTGTCTCAAACATAGAAATTATCTCTCTACGTAAAGGCAGGATCTGGTGTCTTTGTGGAGGTTTTTTTTTTTTGGGGGGGGGATCCGGTTGTGGGGCCTGAACTCTGGACCTGGGCGCTGTCCCTCAGCTCTTCAGCTCAAGGCTAGCGCTCTACCACTTGAGCCACAGCGCCACTTCTGGCTTTTTTTTTTTTTTTTGCTTATGTGGTGCTGAGGAATCGAACCCAGGGCCTCAGGCATGCAAGGCAAGTGCTCTAGCACTGAGCCACCTTCCCAGCCCCTTTGTGGAGTTTCTTGAGTACCTGGTCACTGTGAAGCTGCCCTTAGACTTCTATTAATTGGCACTGAACATTTTTTTTTGTCTTGACCATTTCTGATTAAAAATTCTCCAGCATGAGAACTCCATACTTGTAAAGCTCTTTTAACTGTCCAATAAATGCTTTCCCTGAGAAATGTGTTAAGCAAACCAGATTGTGAAGGCACAATTAAAAAGACTAATCTGGACTTAGATAAGAAATAGGCAATCCAGGAAAACTTAGGTAAAACTAGTAAAGATGACTAGACATTTAAATTTTTTAAAAAATGTTTTGTTGTGGGGCTTGAACTCAGGGTCTTGGGTGCTGTCCCTGGATTCTTTTGCTCAAGGATAGTCTCTACCACTTTTAGCCACAGCTCCACTTCTGGTTTTCTGGTGGTTAACTAGAGCTAGAGTTGCACAGACTTTCCTGTCTGGGCTGGCTTCAAACCATGATTCTCAGATCTCAGCCTCCTGAGTTGCTACCAGTGTCCTGCTGATGTCTAGACTTTAAAGAGAAAACAAGTTTTGAAGTTTTTCTGTGTCATACTGTCCTTGATCGGTAATGGAATTTATTGTGTATCTATATTGTTTTTAGCTGTAGTGGTCTAAATGAATTACGCAAATTGGTATATAATAATCACGATGAGCCTGCAGGGAGGGCTCTTTTAGGGGAGTTGTAGAGAAATAATCAGGTAGAAATGACAAGTACAAGAAATGACTTTTTCCACTTAATTATATTTCCATCGAAAATTCTATTCCATTTCTAGTTGTATGAAACTCATTACAGTGATTAAGAAATACCACGTCAGCACACTGGGAGCTGAAATTGCTTCCTGGTTGGTTAGTTCCCATTACTGTGGTGGGGAAAGTAGCAGGCCACAATTTAAAAAAAAAAAAAATCTCATTTTCATGGGATACAATTTAACTGCTTTAACAAAAAGGCCACCATTGGAGCTTCTGTCTGGGGATTTTTAAAGATTTTGATAAGGTGGGCAAATCAGCAGCAGTATAAAGGAAACGACCTGCCATAGATCAGACAAGTTCAAGTCCGCTGGACTGCTGTTGGAGGTGTGAGTTTATTTCATTCACTGTCATATTTGATCCTCACTAAAACTAAAGATTTGATTTGAATTGCAAACAAAACTCTGCCTAAAGCAGAAAAGGAGGAAATACTGTAATAAAAGAGCAAGGAGTGATCTCATGAAAACCTCAAATGGGAAATTCTAATGTTCCTCAGTACAAACAGGTGAGATACTGAAGCATGTTTTACATCTCCTTAGCTTCTTTTTTACTTACTCTTCGGAAGCATACAGGTCTTAACACTCCTTGGAACCAAATTTCTCTCTAAAATAGCTGTTGTGTGGTGTCTCTTAACGGCCTGAAAGGAGCAACTTTTGGAAGTCTGAAGTCAGTGCTCTGACTTTCTTACCCAAGGCTGTGCCCAGGTCAAATGCCTGAAGGCCAAGGATTCTCTCAGTCAAAGCTGTGCATCTTACTGTTTTGAACACAGCCATTTCATTCTGAAGGTAGCAATGCGTTTGCCAGGAGACTGCTGGGCAGAGCTTCTACCATGAACCTGTGGATTTCTCATTCAGCCC